TCATAAGTTAAAAACCATCGTTTATATAGCTGTCCATTAAATTATGAGAACATCTAAGGTATGTCTAAGTTATGTCAATAAATTTATTATTATTATTATTACTATTATTATTATTATTATTATTATTATTATTATTATTATTAGCGAAGCCCCATAGCTAAGAAACTTTGGTTATCTATCCATCCGAGAAATTTTTGTAGTCACTTGACCGTCCGTCCATCCACAGCATAGGACAAACAACGTGAAATCTCACATTTTCTAGCTAGTGTGGGAGCCTGCAACCTGATATTGCACATCCATGTTGTGACCAATTGACAGCTGTCACAACAGGGTATCCACTGACCAGTATCACATAACCGTATTGCAGGCTCGGGTGTCGACCCATCGAGGCTCGTTTTTTGGAAGTTTTCCACTGACAAGTTCCTAGTTTTCAACTTATCGCAGGCTCAACTCCAAGTGGATTTTCTTTGCGATGGTTTAAAGTTTATTAGTTAAGCAGATTATAAGTTTATTATAGATTTATGAATTTATTAACAGGCGCTTCGCTTTTAGCATTGGCTAAATTGATATATCATTATTATTATTATTATTATTATTATTATTATTTATCTACTTATTTAGTGAATACTTATTTTTCGTCATCGCGTTTGCAGTGCGACTACTATAACCAGGGCCACCTAGACAAAGTTGACCAATCGGGTTACGGGAAAATAACGATACATTTCGAGAAAGTTAGTTAGCAATCATAATCGAAATCAACAACATGGATCGAAATCAAGCAATTACAACCTACAGACGTGACCTTTTCAACCTGCTGAAGAAAGCCCGCGTTTCCTGAGAGGTCCGTTCGAGTGAATGACTCAGGCAAAAAACGTAAACGTTATTGAGGTCGAGATGTTGTTGCAAAACGCGGCAATAGTAGCGAAGAAATTGCCGGTGGATGACAAAGTAATAGCCTGGAAAAACAGCCGACATTTGGCAACGCTACCACTTGTTTCCCCGACGAATGACATCTGAGAAACAAGCGCAGAAATTCCATACTGATGACGCGTCACTACCCACAATAATGGACAAAAGTTTTGGGACACTTTTGCGTTTCTGGGCGTTTTCCAATTCACGCAGGTCCAACCCCTCCCCTCACCCCACAAACAATGCCGCGTGGGAAATTTGATTCAACCAATCAGGAGCACTACCCAGATCTGAGTAGTGACGCGTCATCAGTATGGAATTTCTGCGCTCGTTTCTTAGACGTCCTTTGGCTGGAAAACCAGTGGTAGCGTCGCCAAATGTCGGCTGTTTTCTCAGGCTAGCAAAATAACAGCTTGTGTCAAACAAATACGTCTCCTGGGTGATATATGTGAAGTTTCGAAAAAAACATCGTCTGGTGAAACATTTTGCTTTCTTAAGAAACGTTTGCTATCAATACTTGAATTTTCTGCTTCGAGTAACTTATTGTTTTTTACGAGCTGCTGATTGGCCCACGACCAACTTTCTTGGAATGTACTGTTATTTTCCTGCAATCTGATTGGTCAGCTTTGTCTAAGTGGCCCCGATTACGAGTGACCAACATCAATTTTCTCCTAATAATATCAATACACAATCAAGAGAAACGGTTGTGAGAATTAATCAAATGATCAAGTAAAACGCTTTGATCTTTTATCAAATTCTCACTTCTACGTCTTAAAGGAAATGTATGTACATCAGTCTGGAGAATTTGTTTGTGGATAGTGGGGTTTAAAGGGTTAATATGACCTTCAGCTAATATCACAGTACTCAATCAAACAAAAAAGTTATGGGAAAACAACGAATGATCGCTAAAGTTATAGTCTTGATTTGTTACATAGAATAAAGATGATGTAAACTGCGGTAATACAATATAATTGAAGATAAGACCAACATAGTTGCAATCGTAATTTTTTTTCTTTTTTAGCAAGTTTTTCAACGGGATCCGAACTCATGGCCTTTTCATTAGAGCTATGAAGACCCCTAAATTGCGTGTGCGGTCCGGAAGGAAATCTTGTCGAGTCAATTTGACAGTTCTATTGTCTTTTGAAGAAAAAACAGATGACGCTCGCGCGTGCGCATAATCGGGACACTGTCCCTTTAAGCGGACTAATAATCGATTGCTTTTTTTTGGTAAGGTCTCTTTTAGGGCTTAAGTCTCCTCCAGGGATTTAACTCTGACAAACACTACAGCCCCCATCCACGACAGGACAACAGGGAGTGCAAGAAAGCAATAGGTTTAGACTGTAGGATGTTACTAAAACCGGGGAGCGCGGAGCAGGAAACGAGCACGGGGATGGGAAATAAGAAACTGGAATGAAGCAGAGAATTGGAAATAAAGTTACTGCTAGAGCTGCGATCCAGGTTAGGTTTTGTTCCCATTTTTCATTTTTCCGTTCTCTTCGCTCGTTCCCCGCACCCTGTTCTCCGTTTTTGTAACATCAACTTAGATAAGCAAAACAACAACTTGCACGTGCAGCACAATTTTCCTTCATTCTGTTGCCGTCGTTGCACGATGACTACTGCTATTTGAAACTTCCCAATTTCGCATTTATGGAGTAAATGAACAGTTAGAAGTCAAAGATTTTCCCTTTTCTTTTTCTAAACTTAGAAAAAGACCGTTGGAGTTTAACTCCAGAAAAATTCAGCAACATTTAAAACCGAGACGAACGAGGAGGAATCAAAGGAAAAGGTTGTGAGAAATAATAAATAATCACCCACGGAAAAATGTACTTGTAGTTAAAGAATCAGGCGAAGCATAATTTTCCGTACGCCTAAGTCGGATATCATCATACGATAAAATAAAATTAATGATGTTTTTTATCTTCAAGTTAACTACAATGATGGGGATTTTAAAGGGCCGGGAAAAAAATAATTAGATACGTACGAGCTAGGTCGTTCTAGCCGCAATAAAATGGTCCAAACGAAAAGAGAAACGAAACGAAAAGCCTTTTAACACCACGAATTTCGAAAACCTAATTTGTTTATACTGATCTCCTAAAGCCGAGCAATTCCTTTCAAGAGATTATTGAACACTGCTTGCAACGAACGAAAAGAATGATAAATGATTAATTTCGCCATTATTTTAAAGTATTTTAAGGATAAATTGATTTTTCACTCACCATATTCCCTGCTTGCCGGCGCTCCACTAGAAATTGAAAAGAAAGCAACAGCTAAAGCACAGATCAAAAAAAATTTCATGTTGTTGCGTCAAAGACAGTTGCTGACCAAAATGCTTCAAAACATCCCAATAGCAAGTGACTGCGTTTTACACATATACACTAGGTAGATATTTTAGGTACAAATTTATAGATCTCATGACTGGCTGACCACTGACTTCGAACTTATTGAGTCACTTTTTGATTGAATTAAATCTTGGTTAGATTATTAAATTGAAGGACGGAAGCAAACGAAAAACAATATTGCGCGTTGAAAGAAATGTAAATGTTGAATTTTAAGCCTGATAAATACAACACATAGGTGTTTTTTATTTCAGTCAGTGACAAAGGCAGCTCAAAAGAAAAATCCGCGTACTCCCAACACAAGCGTCAGATGCTCTGCCACTGAGCAATAAGAGACTTGTGGGAGCTAATACCACTTTTGAGTGGTCTTAGTTCCCACAAGTAGGATTATGAGACAAACATCCTGCAAAATGCTAGTAGTGGAATGTCGATATGCGCTTATGAGTAATAGCAGCTAGCGGTTTATGATGTGGAAGTGTCCATATCTTAGAGTTTAAGGAGGTAAATTGCGCTGATGTAATAATTTTTAAATTTCTCATCGTTAGCGCTGAATAAATCGTCAATGTGTCGAAAAGGGTTGCTAAACTGGATGGCTTTGTCGTATCTTGTTTCATGGTATTTAAAGTATGAAGTCATACTTGAGGGCGTGGAGAACGATAAACTAAGACAATATTTGACACAATGTTGATGGTTTTGAATCGGTTTTTTATTTATCTTGATCTTACTTTTTACCAACAATGATACCTACCTGGCCCTCAGGGTTTTCTTGTTTATCACTAGGGAGCTTAAGCAACGACGACGGCGACAGCTACGAGAACGTCACTTAAAAAGTGAATTAGCTCAGCCTTGAATTTTTTCGCGCTTACTCCATCTCAGTTTATTAGTCTAAGGTTGGCAATTTTTTTTAAGTTGAATTCTGGTGGACTGTATCAAAGTTCAGGAAAAGAAAAGAAAGTTGTTGTCTAGTGTTCCTGTCCTCGACAAAACTTGAAATTAGGCATTTTCACGTTGTAGTCGACGAGGAACGATGGGTAAGAAATGTACAAAAAAGTGTGATGCACATGCAAAGCAAAGTTGTTGTTCTTCCAATCTAAACCTATTGCTTTTTTGCCGTTCTCGTTGCCGTCGCAGTGGTCGTTGCTTAAGCTTCCTAATACTGCGCAGTGCGGCTGGAAAACGAGATGACCCTGGGGACGAGGTTGTCACGATTGCGGTTTGCAGTTACAAATATATATTTTATTTGTGTTTTCAAAGTTTAAACTACATTAACAAGCTCTTTAAAGCGGGGTTAAGGCCCTGGTTATGCAAGTAACCAGGGACTGGATTCACGAAGACATCTGAAGCTAAGATGTATAGCTATTATTGTCTTAAAACAATAGGCCATTGTTAAGAAAAAATACTTAACAATTATTCCTCGAGTCAGAATGGGCTCTGAGTCAATAACCCAAGAGGCCGAAGGCCGAATGGGCCCTTGATTCAGAGGCCATGAGGGCGAGAGGAATGATTGTTTTAGTAAAATCCAGCTAGTCGGTCAAAAATATCGAGACAAAAAAGCTTTCGCTAGTTATAGCTAGACTTTAATCCTTTTTTTGCCGCCAAAAAGCCGGCGCTTTTTGCTACTAGTGGGCTATAACATATAGCCTAGTAGTAGCTCAACCAATCAGAACGCAGAATTAATAATAGACCACTAGTTGGATTTTCCTAATAAGGAAATATCTTAACTCGGGAAGTCTTTAGAGATTCGGCCCCAGTACACTATGTCATTGTAGTCTTTCGCGCCATGTAGAAACATCCCACAGCTTTTTTCAGTGCGTCTATCTCCACCTCTAGACATGCACCCGTGTGACCAGGGGCCAGCGACACATGAGTAAGCCGGAGACACACTTTTGCATTGATGTGAAAGATTTTGAATGTTTTGCAGATGGGTTGAGGATTCGCCACTGAAACAAACAAAGAATATGAAATGTTAGTCGTTTTATTATCAGTTTAGTTTAATTGAAGAAAAACCAAATCAAAATTTTATCGTTAGTGACAATAGAGAGAAAAGAGTGACGTCACGTTACCATGGTAGCAAAATTTCTGGATAACAACAATGGGGAACTTAGGCAACGACGACAGCGATGGCAACGTGAACGGCAAAAAAGCAATACGTTAATATTAGCAAAACAACTGTCCACGTGCATCACGCGCTTTTTGTACATTTCTTAGCCGTCGTTCCACGGTTGCAACATGAAACTTCCTAATTTCACGCGCCCGCTTTATAGACTGAGTGAACACAAAACAAAAATTTTCTTTTTCTTTTCCTAAACTTAGAAACGCTCCTTTCGGATTCAACCCCAGAAAATTTCACCAACATTTGACAACTGAAACTGAATAAGATCGATGAAGTTTGAAACGGTGCGGCTTACACCTTCTAAGTGAAGTTTTCGGTTTGTTGACATCCAGAAATTTTGCTACCATGGCAACGTGGCGTAAACGACTTCTCCTCTCTATTGATCAATTTTATGAGGATTTGCTAAGTTTGGGTGCGTTTTTTTGGAGACTCCAAAAACGGATTTGTGATCGCAGGTCAAATGGATTCTTCGCTACCAAAAAAAAAGAAGATCCGAAAGAGGATCGTTTACCATGACAACGGCATGTCCTCGTGCTCCTCGTGATAAGAGAAAATAAAGAGAAAATGTAGAGAAAATAAACAACAAACTGATCCTCGCGGCGAAGACAAGAAGGAAAAGCAACATAAACTACGAATTACTATACGAAATGTATACATTTTGGTTTGAAACCCAAACATTTCTCGAATAGAATACACCTTAGGATAGTAAAATCATAAGTCAGAATTTAAAACTGAAGCCGATGAATTTTTTTTTTACCGGCGTAAGCAGACACTTCATACATGCAAAAAACATGGCGGAGAAAGGGTTTAAAAACAGTATACGAATGTTAATAGATGACAATTGTTGTGTGCCATTTTTGTTCGAAAAAAAACGCCCAGATTGTGAATCACAAACTTCCTGATTTGGATTTGATCAGAAGAATCCCTCCAGGGTGTGGATTTTATGGATTCATGTTCCGTTTTTGGATTTGCCCCAAAAAATGCAAAATCCGTTTTTGGATTCGGAAATCCGAATTTGGATTTTCCCAAAAAAACCGCACCCTTTTTCCGGCTATACCTGAAATGTGCTTCTTGAAAACGTTGAAGTGATTTATCACTAGTGCTATGTTAAATCCCTAGGATCAGAAAACATGAAAGATTTATTAGTAGAACTAGTCAGTCAGAAAGAATCAAATCAGTTTAACATACAAATTTGCTTACATGCTCAATATACTTTTTTCATTATGAAGGTCATTTTTTTATTATTATTATTTTTCATGAGTGAAAACAGCTGTTAAGTAACCAGTTTTATTTTTTTTTTGTAAACCAATGAGGGAGAAATTCTAACGCGTGCCGAATTCGTCGATTCCAATGGGGCCAAAACATGCAAATTTCGCTAAGGCGAAGGAAACACACAAGTGATGGGAAACAAGCAGAATAAGGCATTGGACTGGCTAAGAAAAAGTTTTCTTCTATGTCCTTACCGTTTCAGCTTTATCAATGTCTGCATGAACACAGGCTGTTGAAAGGAAAAAAATAACTAATTAAAACTGATAGTAATAAAAGAGTAGTATAAATGAAATGATGACCATCATCATGAAGACATATATAAATTTTTGTATATGAATTTCCGATTTCTTCTTTGCATTTTATTTATTCATATAATAATGGAGTTCCCACAAGTCTGCTTCAAATTTGTTTTGCCATATATATCGTCTTTAGATCCAGTCAAAAGTATCCAGTCATTCAACAACATAAAGTGCATTCAAATCGGTGACCTAGAGCTGAGGAATTAAGGAGAGATGCGAGAGCCTTTACCCCTTTCCCTTTCCCTACTCCCTCCTCAATCTCCCTTTTTCCCAATCGCTTCCCCAACTGACACGCCCAGCTCAATTTTATCAGAAGAACTGATAAAATCTTGTCACCGTGAAAAGAACCAGTTGCTTGTTTCGAGCGCAGCCTTTCGTTGGAGTGAAGGTACCTACTCATTCATTTGAGAGTAAATCACCTTATTGACAACAGGAGAACCTGACCTAAGGCTAATAAGACCTTTCACTCCAACAAAGACTACACCAGCAAAGACTAAAAAAGACGAAGACTTCTACAAACGGAACTGGAAAAGCGACTGGCCCATCATTCACTTGGTACAGTGTAATTAGGTTTTACAGCATATGAGGTATAAGTTACCTTTGATCGGATAATGAATCAGTGTTACTTCAATGCAACAGTCGCATTGAGGAGGAGTCTTTCCACACACACAGCCACCTTTATCAAACGTCACAAGATCTGTTACGTCATCATTCGGCTTTACTTCATTCGTCGGAGTGTAGTCGGTGTCAATATGGCTTTCCTACAAAACAAATACATCTGAGATTTGCCATTCTTAACCCAGGTTAAAGGAGAAATAATAATTAATCTACAGCTTAATTAGTCCATAGGCTTTCACACCGGAAACAAAGACTGGGGTGAATTTCTTTCCGTTTTACTAGCCTTGCAGATTTTTTTTTCGTCTACCATTTGACTGACGTCCGAGAAAAAGTAAAATTCATCACGAGATTTCTGCAATGGATTACCCTAATCAGAGTTAGTTTTGATCGGACAATATTGTCCATAGAAAACCATTAGCCACTCTTAGTATAAACTAGATTTCCACAAATACCTCTTCAGCATTTACTGTAATTTTTTTGTTGGTATGCGGCTCTAACTTTTTGACTCTGCGGTTATAAAATTCTAAGGTGTGACCATTCAATGAAGGCTTTTATCAGCAAAAAATAATTTTTTACTTAGTATGTAGATCTGACTTTCGTTCCTGAAGTCGAGGTGCAAGAAATCTTATGGCGTAGCCCAAAAGATGCATATGATAAACCTCCTCTCTTGTGTGATCGTAATATTCAAAAGGAAACATCTAAGTTTCCCGTTTTGGTTTTGCGTAGTTCCATACGACAGGAAAACATGCCTCATACCCGCATCATTCCGGCGACATAGGACATCTAAGCGAGAAGACTTAACAAGTGTCGTTGCTTACAAAAAAGAGTCAAAAAACCGCAAACAAACCGTGGATGCTTGAAATGATTCCTCCAATAACGATAGGAGTGATTCTGCGTCTAAGAATGTTTCCACATCAAAACCATCTCCTTCTGCACCTCTGAAAAAGAAGCATCCCAGCGGAATGTCCTTCCGTGAATGGAAACCTTTGAACTCCAGGGCAGCGCAGCCTCCCACGTGATGCCTTTCGACTGAAACGTTGGAAAATTTGACGCAGGCTTTGGCTACTGGAATATGAGGAATGCCAAAACAAATTGGAGGCGGGTAGGCAGCTGTCAATTAACAGAAAAATTATTGTTTTGAGAAACGCGTGATTGGAAAATGTTACCGCCTTATTTAGTTCCTTACTTTTCCTAGTCAGCTCTATCGAGCATGCCTACTGAGTAGATCCCGGGGTGTGATGCTCCTTGGATCCCAAGCCTACTCCCCTAGTGGTTGGGTGCCTTGATGTTCTTGTGCCAGTTCTCACCAGGATTTTAAATCTGTCCTTAGAAACTGGTTGTTTCCCTGACAACTGGAAACAAGCCGACGTTCACCCAATGCTAAAGAAACCAAGAGCTGAGGTGATATTTTACAACCTACGACCAATCAGCAACCTTTCGTTTGTTTCTAAACTAGTTGAGCGACCCGTTTCAATCAAACTCATGACTATCTAACCCTGCACAAGCTCTATCCTAAGGTCCAGTCCTCGTACCGTGAATTTCACATACAGCACTGAAACCGCGCTACTGCGGGTCATAAACGACATATTACTCAATATGAACCGCCAGGGAGTCACTCTCCTACTACTACTTAACCTCAGTGCAGCCTTTGACCACTCGATTTTACTCGACCGTCTGCACACCCACTTTGGCATCTCGGGCGGGACACGCGCACTCCTGGTTCATGTCCTACTAGCACCACGAGATTCCTATTCATATCTATTCACGGCGAAACATCAAAGAGGTTTGAGGCAAAGTATGGCGTTCCACAAGGATCTTGTCTTGGTCCCACCTTATTTTTCCTCTACGCAAGCAAGCAGTTCACGATCATCGAACTTCATCACGCGTATGCTGATGACACGCAGCTGTACATCTCCTTCAATGCCAACTCCAGTGAGGAGCAATCAGTAGCTCTGGAGAACATGCAAAATGAGAGGTTGGATGCTATCTGACAGGCTTAAACTAAACGACGATAAAACAGAATTCATCATCATGGGAACGAGACAGCAGCTGGCGAAAGTTAATATTGAATCTATGCGAGTTGGTGACAGTACAACTACACCAGCTAGCGACGTAAAGAACCTTGGTACCTGGTTTGATCGACAGTTAAGATGGACACACACATTAATAACGGTGGTAAAGCCACTTTTTTCCCACTTATATAACATAAGAAGATTTAGGAAGTTTCCCCAGTCTTGATTAATTGTCCTCATCTTGGTCAATGCGTCTGTAACGAGTCTTCTGGATTATTGCAACAGCCTCTTGTATGGCTTGCCTACCAACCTACTGCACAAGCTCCAACGAGTCCAGAATGCAGCTGCAAGGCTGATCTGCAAGGTTAGACGCTTCGATCACATCACTCCCATCTTATTTAGCCTCCACTGGCTGCCAGTTAGAAACAGAATTCAATTTAAAATTCTACTTTTTACCTATAAAGCCTTAAATGGACTCGCTCCTGCATATATTACAGAATTATTGAAACTTAAAACTATTCCTCGATACAATCTAAGGTCTTCTGATGACAAACTATTACTTCAGCATCCCAATATAAGAACTCTCGTTACTCTTGGTGACCGTTCATTTACAGCCGCGGCACCAAAGCTATGGAACGATCTCACCTGTGGTCATCCTCCATGCCATTAATGTTGCCGCTTTTAAACGCCTCCTGAAAACCCATCTATTAAGGAAAGCCGTGTGTTGAGTGTCCTTTCTTCCGCCTTTTTCTTCCCCATCACACACCACGCGCTGGTTAGTTGAGAATCAGCACAGACAACTAGACTCCCCCAAAATTAAAAGTCTATTTTTCTAAGGACCCAAGAGCTGATAGTTCAGCGGGCCGAGTTTGCAGATCTTTTAATAGGGTTGTTTTGGATTACTTTGAGTTGGTACTTCGGTGTTGTAACAGATCTTTTAAAATTTACCAAATGCATGGACGCCTGAAATAGCTAACGTAAATACTGACAAGTCACAAAATTTATAACAATGTTTATAACTTAAAATTACTAGGATAAAAAAAGTTTAAAAATGCACAGTGAGTAACAAGGTAAATGTTGCTCTAACCTGATATTGTCTGGTTGAACAATACATCCTTATTCCAAGTCAGAAAGAACTGCGCACCCTGGAGAAAAGAGACCAGAAATTAAACTGCTAAACTAATCAAAGCCTCAATTATGACAGTTGATAGCTCTGACCATAAAAGCGGAGCCCGTGAGTAAGATAGGAGGCGTTATCAGAACGTAGGCCGAAAAGAAGAAAATAAAAATGTCCTTCCATGATTATATGTTATGCTTAAAAACAATTCCTATTATGTACTAGGTCAATGATTAAATTGGGCTATCAGTTATTTCATACATTTAACACGGACCACGACAATATAGTTCGATGTACGGTAGTATTAATTCTGTCAGGTCAAGGAATTTCAAAAAAGTTTAATTCTTTAGCATTGTTGATTGAAGCTTTTTAACGCTTTGTTTGAAAAATTATAACACCTGTGATATCAGTGTTTGCATTACTCTGGTTTGTTACCCGCGTTTTATAGAAACTAGAAGATAAGATGCTTCTGATGAAAAGTGATTACCGGAGCGTGAAATAGAGTTCAGTAGAAACTATGATCAACTTACCAAAGGAGATGGTGTATAAGAAGCATTCATGCACACTGCACGTAGATAAAAATAAATAACTAAATAAATACATAAATAAATAAATAAACAATAAAAAAAGTTACCACTCAATTGTCATAAGCATATCTGCTTCAGTAGAAATACCGATAAAATATACTTAATAATGCAAATGTGTCATGCCGGATTTAAATGCAACCTCGGTTTTCTTTTATTTTTTTTGCAAATGGAACTTAAGTTGTTTGCCTTCTTTTTACTTCGTCAAGTTTATAGAGGCTTAACATAAAATCAAAAGATAGCTTTACCATTAGCTTCAATTCTTTTATGAAACGCATGCGTTTTGATCGCCATACAGCAGCCACACTCGTGATGATGCTCTGCGCAGCTGCATTGACGACGCATAATCTCCACTGACGAAGGCATGACGTCATCCTCCCCTAGAAAAGGAACGTGTTGTCAGTTTCAAACACGACCCCTTGGTAAAACAAAACTGCATCGAACATTTGATAGATATTTAATTTCACTATGTCGAATGCCTCAGGTAAAATTTAAAATATTTCTTTTTATTAGATTTCTCGAAAGAAAACAGTAATAAAGAATTTTTTTTTTGATTCAGAGTTATTAAACAGATTATAGAAGAAAAACGTGTAACTTCTATGAAAGGGTCATATTAGACCTCGTTACCCTTATTTGTTTTTAATTGATTTTTTACTCTTGACTTGTATTATTTATTTGTTTATTTTTTTCATTTATTTTGAGGGGCTTGTTTAATGGTGCCTGTCTTCCTTCTTACTTTGTTAAGTTTATATTTGTTGGAATGCCCACTACTGTAGATTCCAAAACTGAACGCTAAAAAGACATTTCCATATAAAGGCAAGGGCAAGGAAAAAATTCCCAGTTTCGGAAGAAGGGAAGAATCAAGAGCTTTATAAATCATGGACCCAGGCTGTTTCATCCACTAGGGAGCTTAATCAATCAAAATTGAACAGCAACGAAAACGTCTAAAACAGGAATATCACACTTCACTTTCTGGGACATATTTCTTGCTGTCACTGCACCACTACGACCTGAATTTTGCTAATGCAACGCCGAGGTTTTATGAAACGTTTTTTTGTCTAGTCTCTTCCTGAGTACGAATATAATTCAAGAAGAATTCGCCCATATTTAACAATTTGAGTATTACTAAGTTAGAATAATCTTAAGGAATCGGCTAAATGGCGAACGATTGAATGCACTCTCTCTTACGTTCTCGTTGCCACTGAACTTCTTATTGGCTTCTTTAACTTCCTTCTTATGTTTTTAGAATGGTCCTTTAAACTAATGGGGTTCGGTTAACCTCAAAGTAAATAATACCTTTCGATTTGAATTTTTACTTACCATTAACATCCCAAGCTGCAGGCACCCCCCCGGCAATCGTGACAAAAGCTACTCCAGCTAATACGGCGACAAAGATGTTCTTCATGATGCGGAAACCTTGAAGATTTGCTAAGAAAATGATTATGGCGATTGAGTAGGATTTCGTTCTCCCTTTTATAAGTGATCTTATGTAAATACGCAATCATTGAATAACTGCATAAGCCAATCAAACAAGGCACCATACGAGAGGTAACGCCCTTTTAAGGAAATCGTTTCTAGAAAGTGAAGCGATGTAACGGCTTTTACTGGTAACCTTCGTCGTCATGTATGCTGATTTGGCAATATAGCTTACCTTTCTAAACTTCTTTCATTTTCCACCGGGATTCCCTGAACGGCGATACCACTTGAAAATGAAAACTTGTCACTCGATCGGGCTGTTTTCGAAAGCAAAAAATACAAACTTAAGATACTCTATTGCCGACTGATATTTCAAAGGGACAGAAAAATCCGTCATTGTCGAGACCAGTTAAAAACCCCTCACTTATCATGGAATTAAATTTATTTACCTGATGACAAAAGAAGTTTCCCTTTTTTCTGACTATGTAAAACGACATTGCCATTATCAATATAAAAAATTAGAATCTGAACACTTTTTAAAACTGAAAGGTCGTGGTTCCGGATAAATTAGTCACGGTCAAAATTCAGAGAGATAAATGACAAATCATGAGACGTCAGCTTTTTTTCTGAACAGGTTGTTCATCTGACCGGTCCTCCTGAACTGACTATTAAAAATTATACCCGCTAATAGCCCCCCTCCCCCCACCCCCCCACCCGTTTTATAAAAGGCATGTTAAGTCAAGTATAGGAATCCACACTGATGCTTGTGTCCCCTTCACAAAGATTTCACTGTTTCAACGCTATTTTTAGCGAGTCATTTATTCATGTGCGCAATTGTAAATTACAAACGAAATTGATACAAGCCGTAAAGTATGTCTAAATAGTGATTATACTTTAGCTTACTGGGAAAACCTTCCAGAGCGTTGTGACTGAATCATAAAGTCCTGAACGGATTATAATTTCGTGTTAGACCTCGTTACTAAACTTTCGTATGCTGTAAACTTGCCTTAGTGTGCTTTTCTCTTAACTACCCCCCCCCCCTCAAATAGCTGCAGGCAGCGCTAATTAAAAAATTGCAATTACAAATAAAGTTCTTGTTGTTGTTTCCTGTATACCTCACTACCCTTAAGTCTTTGAGATACTATGCTGTATTCATAGTTTTCCCAGGAGTTTTAATCAGAATAATGACACGTTTTTTCACTTACCTCGAATGTTGAACACCTCAAGTATAGACCAGGAGTGGGGGGGGGGGGAACATCAGGGTTGGGGGTGGGCGGCCAAGCCGTCCAAACCCTGGCCTTGGTTAAGAAAAGGGATCTTAATTCATGACCCTGCTTCTTTTCGTTTCGCTTAGAGAGTAAAGTAATTTTTTAGTTAAAATTCATGTCTTAATGGGGGGGGGGGGGGGGGGGACATCAGGTGTGGAGGTGTGCCGCCAAGCCGTTCAAACCCTGGCCTTGGTTAAGACAAGGGATCTTAATTCATGACCCTGCTTCATTTCGTTTCGCATAGAGAGTTAAGTAATTTTTTAGACTAAAATCATGGCATAAGATTTTTTGGAAAAACTTGACCATTGGTACAACTAGGAATGCAATTGCATGTTAAGAACTGAGATGAAAGCAAGGCTTTGTAATTGTTTCAGTTAGGAGTTTTTTTGTCAGCTAATATGAGACGATTCGTGCATCGTCACCCAACCCGAACCCAAAAACAAACCAAAGATTAACCCTAGCGTTTTTTAAAGCTCTAAGATCCACTGAGGCGTTTTTGGCTACGCACGTTAACGCACGTAAATTTTAATCACGTAAATAAAATAAAGGCAAGATAAAAAGTGCTGAGCTTACACGCGAAGTAGAGCGAGGTTCAACTTTTACGCTTACGAGCAAACTATCATGCATTGCCTCTATTTTTTTGGGGAACGGAAATTTTACGCACTTACGCACGTAAAAAATACGCGACACCGGAAATCAACCCTTATATACTGAGTATCTTTGCGTTATAAAATAGAGTGGTAGCGAGATCAAAGGACTTGATCATACCAGATGAATTATACTGATACTACTTCAACTGGAAGTGTATAGGGACAAACAAATGAGAATATTAATTTTAATATTTGGGTTTTAAGGCGTAAGAATAAAACAGAGTTCGTATAAAATTAAACAAGGGAGTGTTTCGTGTGGATGTGTTTTTAAAGTGATAAAACGTGTCACTTGTATCCCTATTGACTAGGAGTCAGTGAGTAGTCGATTTGCACTATTATTCTCCCAGAATTTTACATCTTTCAATTTTAATATTTATTTTGTTTGCACCGGGAAACGTTCAGAACATTGAATATTCAACAATGAAAACAATCAGCGTATTTAAATGATCGAGCCAGTAGATAGATGCGTTATCTTTCACCTGTCTTGGATTGGGTTTATATGCAGATTGTTCGCAATTTAAAAATATGAAGAGCTAAGAAACAGTAATTTAAAGTTGCTTTACATTTAACAAAAACCAGTAAACGACGAGCTGAAAATAGCAAGCTTTTAAGGATGACGTCGATCATACCATTATCTCTCAGGAGTTTTAATTTTTCTACCGTGATTCTTTTGACATGGAAACACAAAATATAAATTACATATCAATGCTGTTAAATCTTTCACCCAGTTAGTCAAAGTATACAAAAAACGTTCTCAAATTTTCCTGATTTTTGTCGCATTACATTTTAATCTTAAAATACGTGGCAAGGAACTTAACATCGGCATCAGCGAGTAGCCAAAGGTGGATGGATGGCAGTTTTACATAATATTGAATAATTCCATTCTCCAGCAAGTCACGACGTGCCAAGTTAACATCACGGCGAAAAATAGACGTTGGTTGGCGTTACTTTATATTTTAAATCTCTTGATCCACTTACGTCAAGTTGTAGAAGAAATTTTTCCAATTTATCTCTGAGAATTAAAAAAGCCTCTGCTACGGAAATCAATTAGAAACGCAGAGAATTCACTTTATCCAACAATATGCTTTATATTCCGCCGCTTTGTACATTGTTTATAATCTTTTTACCAGTGCTACTCCTCAATGTTAGATATTTCCGTTACTGAATGGTCTTCTGCTCCATTTGTTTTTGCTTCGTTAAGTGTTTTTTGTTCTTCCGTTGTCTTTTTATCCTCTTTCCCCTTCGTTTCTCCTTCTATCTTTTGATACAGAAGCGGTCTGTCCACATCGCCCGATTCTCGACTACAACAACGGTTGCCCATTTCAACAGCTTGGTGTTTCGACAAAATGTAATGTTGATCGCTTTGTTAGTTTCACCTTCCTGGCCTTGAGCATGAATTTTCGTTTACAGTCACTTGTCACGAGATACCCTGCCTAGAGGAAGGTCATCTCCCCTTTTGAATATTACTCACACCACTGCTGAGTTTACAAGATATCTCACTGGGGATATGCCACGTGTCCTGCGGCTTTGACGCGGCCAGAACTGGAACCACTATGAAATCGAGGCTATTGTTAAGGGCAAACAAACTAGGAAAAATCTCCTCGGACCGAGCCTAGTACTCCGAAGTGTTGTTTTTTTTTGTTGTTATTATTGCTAACAATCTAAATTACGTTCTTCGAAATTAGATTGCTCTTAACACTTGTCCCTGTTTAGAAAGAGAGAGGAAGGATGGCGATCCCTTGTGGCGATCTATTACGTGGCAAAAAATACCCTAATTTTCTCTTTGCGGGATCTGCGATGCGCGCCGATATACTTCTGGTGAACAACATGTTTCTAAAACAAAAAAAGGGTTATTTAGAGCGAGGGTGATCTTTGATCACTAAGAAGTCCTTCCGCTCTTGTTTGTATGCGCTATTCTCGTTCAAACTGGCGTGGCGAAGCGGAGAAAATTATGGTCTCGTTTAGCGAACTACTGCATATTCGATTAAGAACCATTTCGTCACTTACCGAAAATTCCTGAATCGTAATTGCTGGTGACTGATTTAAAAGATTATTATTAATAATAATAATAATAATAATAATAATAATAATATAATAAACACAAACAAGAACGGAACGACCTTTCCAACATCTGAGATCAAACTCGCTCGATGAAATAATTTTTTTTATCTGTTGGAAACGTGTTGTTCACCAAAAGGAGTGCAGCGCGCATAGCAAATGCTGGAAAGGGAAAAGGGTATTTTTAGCCACGTAATAGATCACCATTTACTTTCTTCCTTTCTCTTTCTAATACACAAGAGCAATCTGATTTCGAACTACTTAAAGTACTCGCGAACTTCAAAAAAACAGCTGTCTAATATGGTTTTGCTCAAAATTCAAACTTTTGGTAAAAGTTGTTGGAACTTCAGGTATGGTGACAAAATACTCCGTACAAAAAGAGTCGTGGCAAATAAGAGTAACTGTACAGACCAAATTTCGTTTTCTGTGCTGAAATAAACTAAACTGAAATAAAGTAAACACCTTATCCCAAGAGAGCCCGAGTAGCTTTGCTCCATTAGGTTTCACCCGCAACTGTTCCTTGGCATATGTCTGGCCATCATCTGTCAACTGCCTATCTGCTTCCAGTTCTGGTACATTCAGTGAAGTTCCACTTTTGCAACTCGAAACCTGCCCCTTCAAAAACACCCCTATATTGCAGCTCATTTTAACTCATACACTTGATCAACCGTATCTTCCCCAGCGATCATGATGTCATCAGCATATTAGACTCAAACGTAGTCCTTCACTGAACGATTGCTAAAAGACTGGGCCAGCTCTCCAAAACGTGCTCTGGAGTGTACTTCTTGCAGGTGCGGATTGGAGAAGCAGATCGCGACGCACTTCGATATTTCATTGGATAAAGGATTAAGACTCATCACAAGTTGAGACTTTGACACTCACGAGAGGCTTTGTTTGGACTTGTACAGTCGCCTTTTCTCCTTGCAGGGACCTTGAAACAACATTTAGAAACTTTAGGAACTGAATACCCAAAGCATGTGGAGGAAATCAGGCAGGCAGGCATAACTTTAAATAGGCTGATCACGTGTAGTGATTGATGTGCTTAGATGTGTAGTCCATGTGTGGATGTATGCTCTGCGATAATTATTATTATTGTAATTGTTGTACTTTGGAATAAATGAAACAAAAAAATGTGGAGGAAATCATAAGGAGTCTTTATGTTGCTGACATCATCGTTGGGGAAGATACGGTTGATCAAGTGCGTGGCAGCCAATCCTATAGACAATCTAAGAAGCGCTTTGGAAGGATATGCAGTGAGGTCTGTGTATGGATGGACAGACAGCACAGTGGCCTTGCATTGGATTACCGGTTAAGATAACTAAAGACAATTTGTGTCTGGTAGAGTGGCACAAATTAATGCCAAGGCCTATGTGAAGTGGAGTACAGTCGACTCCCGATAACTCGAACCCTCGCTAACTCGAACCTCGCGCTAACTCGAACCAAAATCGATTTCCCCTGGATTTCCGTCATACATTCACTGTAATTTTACCCTCGATAACTCGAACTCCCGCTAACTCGAACCAATTTTCGCTTCCCCTCAGGTCATTTTCTATATAATCTTACCCTCGATAACTCGAACCATGTTTTGAGCCCTTAAAAAGTCGGGGAAAAAGTCGTCTACAGGCGTCCGAAACATTGAATTTTGCATTTCCTATTGACATGTTGTAGGAGTATAGTTCACTAGCGGAGGCTGATGTTGATTGTCACAGGCTAACGTGAAGCAGCTTTTCTTCTCAAAACAGTAAAACGCATGCTCTGTTTAGGCTATGTTTTGTTACGTTAGGTTCTGATTTATAATCTAGAAGTATCTTTTAATTTTCACTTGACATTTCTACAATTAAATGTGATTAAAATATTCACTGTGCAGTAAAAACTGTTTTTTACGTTACTCTCGGCTATTTTCATCGAACTCCCGATAACTCGAACCTTTTTTCGATTGCCCTTGAAGGGTCGAGTTATCGGGAGTCGACTGTATGTGGGAACAGGCCAAAATCCAGCTGACGTGGGGAGCAGAGGCACCCTGTCTAGAGAGCGTCTTGAAATCTGGCTAAAGGGGCCGAGCTGGCTGTCCAAACCAGAAATGTGGCCAGCGGTGGTGAAAACTAGACCAAGTAAGGAGACAGAAGCAGAGGCCAAGTTAGTAAAGGAAGAGGAGGACACCCTACACCAGGTTTTAGAGAAAAATGGATTCTGGAATACAAGACGTATCACGTCATGAGTAGCAAGATTTATCCAAAACTGTAAGAAAGGCAAAAAGTACCGGGTGTCCCTTCCATTCCGGCAACGTATGAGACTGACAAGCAAGTTAAATTCTGGGTAGGATGAGCTCCAAACAGCAGGTTAAACACAAACAAGTTCCATGAAGACCAGCTCAAACTTTATTTGCAGAAGAATGAAGAGGGTCTGTCCAAGTGTAGAGGACGAATTCAGGGAAGCTACCCTATCTACTTACCACCAGATGCCTTGCTAACAAAGAAAATTGTCTCTGATAAACGTGTGCTAGGTCTTCATGGGGGAGTGGGACTTAGGATGAGTTTTATTCGTCAACAATTTTGGGTGCCGCGGCTAAGACAACTTTCAAAGAGAGTTATCAGAGGTTATGGGTGCAATAAGTTCCTAAGTTAGCACTTTTTCAAACCCATCAGCAGGAAAATTTCCAACAGATAGAACGGAAGGATCTGCCCTTTTCGAAGTAGTTGGTCTAGACTTTGCAGGACGTATGGGGTACAAAGAAAGAAGGGAAAACCATATATTTTGTTATTTGCTTGCAGCTTAACCAAAGCTGTCCACCTTGAGTTGCTGCCAAACCAAACAGCTAAGGAGTTCATCAAGCATCTCAAACGGTTCATCGCGAGAAAAGGCCATTTCAGGAAGATTTATTCGGATAGCGGGCGAACTTTTGTTGCCGCAGCAAAGTGGTTGAATGGGGTGGTAAAACATGAACAGCTTCAGAACCACCTCGCTCCTCAGGGAATAAGGAGGCAATTTAATCTAAGCAGAGCCCCGTGGTTGGTTGGGGGGGGGGGGGGGGGGGCATTTGACCAACTTGTGGGGTTTGTAAAAGGGGCGTTGAAAAAGAAGATTGGTGGGATTAACCTTTCGGGGGTTGGAGATGGGGAAGTAACCCGGTGGGGGAGAAATAGGGGGCAAGAAACCCCCCCTGTTCTTGGGGAGGGGATGTGGAGGAGAGAGGGGAAATTCTTGCGGGGGGTTAAAGAGGTTCTTTGTGGGGGGTGGGGGGGGGAAAGCCTTGCAGAAGTCCCGGGGGGGGAAGAACCCCCCCCCCCCCCCCCAAATCCCAGAGCAAGTGAGTTTCGCCCCGTTAGGAGGCCTACAGCTGTAGCAGCGGAGAACGTTCGCTGCATTGTGGAAGAAGAAGCTGTCGAAGACTTAACTTACTATTTATTTGATCCCAATTACTTGTATCAAATAGGGGAGAGTGTGAGAATTCGTAGGTTAACATTGGGATGTTAAGGTTTTGTTCACGTTTTTTCCTTTCTGAACTAGTCAGACGCTCCCTAAGGTCCTCGGGGCCTGGGAGACGAGGTTTAAGGATATATATGGTTCTGTTCTTCATCGTGAGCATGAGTTTATTGTCTGGAGGAACAGTTCCGACAACAATAATGCACCAGTCAATGTTAAGACCCAGGATAGGGGGACCGGGCATACCCAGAGGGATTCGAAATTTTGGGCCATTTTCATGTCATTTCTTTACCCGGAGGAGAAAGACAGATGTAAAATACCCCTCCCTTGGGGTACATTTTGTTCGATTTAGATGATATAAATTGCAATGCATACTTCCTCCTCACTCCCATTCAGATAGGAGATAAGAGTCCGTCAGAACTCTTTCGCTATTTGTGCCTCAACTTTCACAATTGTGTTAGCATTTTCTTCAGCGCGTTGTACGGTCACAATTGCCTTCAAACTTGTTGATACAAAACTAGAGAGCTCTGAGCTTATTTGCTGAAGTTAGGGAAAGATGTGTCGTAGTTGCAAAAAAAACCTTTGTAAAAAACTGCCGGTATGTCAAAGGTTTTTATACCTACAAGATAGTAGATAATAATTTCTTAAAGTTCCACTATTCTCCATTAAGGATGCAGAAAATCAGAGAAATCAATAAAACTTTTACTGCTGAAAAGCGCCATTTCAAGACGTGAGAAACATGCTAATAAATGGGTTCGGGCCACCTTGAGAATCAACCTGAAGATGTCGCGGATGGAAGCAAAAACCATGTACACTGGTAACTGGTCAAACAGTCACGTGAGGCATAAATTCGTGGCAAGGGATTCAAGGTAGCCAAAGTTAGATAGCGGTTTTACGTAATATTAAATAATTCCATTCTTGAAGTAAGTAAATTCATAAGTGTGCAAATAATGAACTGAATATTCTTGATAACATAATCCGCAAGCAGTTTTATCATCCAGCAGTTTATTTTGTCTTTGAGGACAATAAACTTGTCTCTTCGGACAGGTATAATTCCATATAATCTTGGTTAACATGGTATAACATCCGCTTTATCAACGGATCTGGCGAGATAAACAATGTCAATGATCTCTCATATATCCACGAATCATTCAAGTAAATTAATAACCTTTTTTCGTAAAAAACCAAACTAAAACTATACTGAAGTTTAAATAGCTTCTTTGGACCAGAAGTAATAAATATCAAACACATATACAGCTGTATACAATTGAGAGCTAAGGAGTACTGAAAGACGAGCAAACGCGCCTAAAATTATTGATTACAACTCCCAACAATGCATGCTGGGAAGAACACTGACATTACCAAAGATTCCATAACACGACACAAAACTGACTTAATCCTGAGATGATTAAAGGAGCTGTGTATCGAAATTTACCAAAATTTAAAAAGTGGGACCTGTCACCAAATTGAATGAAACAAAAAAATAACCACGCAAAACGTTAAAAGAAGGTTTAAATAACACAACAAATACAAAAGAACTAGGGCCCTGATGGACAAACTTGAAGGAGATTGAAACGGACTGAAATTGTAGTTTTTGAAAATGTGTTAGCCTAACAGTTTTTCAAAGTTCATTTTTGTTGTTGGTAATGTTTAAAATAAGGCTTGGGAGATGTATTTTTTTGTTTGACACAAAGCTGTGCTTTTGTCATTCACAAGTAATTTCTCAATTTTCTGAGCGAATAAGGAGATGTCATTGGTATTACAAACAAAATGAACTAGCCTGCCGTGACAGAGCCCCTTTAATTTAGTCTGTAAATAACATTGTTCGGTGGACACTGCGCGCACTCAAAGTTGCAGCCAACTTGTTTCATCACGAACATTATCCAATCTCGTTCCCAGGGTGCTCTACTACTTTCTCTCTCTCCGGTGGCCGAGTAGCAGAGAGCCTGGGAGGTTGGGAAATTATCATGGGAAAGTCACTCACGTAATCAATCAACCCTTTTAGTAGTTTATGGTAGTTTAACATAGTAAACAAGACTATTGTAACCAAGACCTGTGACTGAAAATACAATGGATTTTTGATACGCTATAACTGCATTTTCTCCAGCTATAAGGAAAACCTGTTCAATTCGACAACTACGTTAACACAGCACCAAGCACGTTCTTAAGGGACTGGGAGAACAACTGCAGCAGCATAGTTTTATCTCTGTGGGTGACGAGGAGGTCTCTTGAGATTTGAAGCTGTCTTGGAGGCTACCACGGGTTTCCCAGTATTCCAGTGGGACTTGTAAATAGCAAATCCGTCTACTGAAATGGAGAGAGTCTTGGAAGGGATCTTAGTAAACTCTTTTCCGCCGCTGTTATATCTAAAATGACACAAGAGAAATGACAAACTTGTAAACTTGCCAATCAAACAAAAGCTAACCTTTGATAAAGGGGTATACAAAGGGGGAATTCCCTACGGTAGAGGAAAAGTAACGACAACGTTATAGAAACTTTCATACGAGATATTTCTACCCAAATCCATGAATCTATAGTTCTGGTGTACACTCCTCAAGGCAGGCGTTTTCTAGGGCGAGAATCTAAAGCTTCTGCTTTTATGTTTTTAAATTCCTCCACTTCATCTTACGTTACAAACATCCAATAAAATTTATTATGAAATTCCAAGAAATTTTTAAGGACGTTTTTAAGGGACCTGAAAGAAAATTTTATGAATTTCAAAAATAGTTTGCACCTCAGTGCAATGAGCGAATTTTGAACGTTTAGTAACATATATTGAGGCAATCATTGCATAATCCAGTACGAATCTTGATTATACTATATGTCATTACAATATCGATACTTGACCCTGGTTTCCGTGGTAAGCAATCGAACCATTAAGTATTTTACTGCTAATACACGTGGCGTTGGAATACAATTAGCATCTGTTAATCTCTACAAAAAATTTAGATCAGGAACCACTGGATTTAACAGAGCCGTGTGGTTTACTGCCACTACAGTTAGATATTTACTAAAGAATTTATTGATTGTAGTCTCTTTTCTTTGAAGTATCAAAAAGCGAATTCCTTGTAGATTAAAAAAAAGATGTTGATAACTTACTTGTACAGAAATTCAACCATTTTGCTCGTCACCACGCGAGGCCCGATTCCAAATACTTTGAAAAGCTACAAAGAAAATGAAATCCGTTAGATAAATACCATATAAGTCGAACGTTCAAATCAAACCTCTTTCAACAGCCAAATGTAAAGAAAATTAACCTGGTCGTTATCGAGGTTGTGTAGATATATTCCACGGAACTTAAGACCATCTTTAAATAAAATCATGAAGTGATGACCGTCAGATTCAGATATAGCCTGAAATAAAACCAAAAAAGATCAATCTTGAGAACATGTTTAATAACAATTACTAATATAGTACAAGGTCTTCTGCGCGAAACGGCTTGAGGAACGTTTTTGGGAGGTGCGTGGACCGAGAATTGAAGGGATCCCTCAACCCTCACAGAGAGCTTGCTCGTAGACTTGAAATAAATTCTTATTTTGGTAAATCGCAGGCTACATGGAGCAATCTATAACTTATGGACGAACTAAAATCATTCAGGCGGAACAAAAACGGGTATTTAAGAAACGCTCTTCAAGTAAAGCGTCATCGCTCCCACTGGACAATGACGGAAGCTGTCAGAGAGTGTCTTTTAAAAAACGAAGATGTATTTACGTGATTGGCGTGGATTGGCGATTTTTGTGTTTTGCGGGAACGAATCTTTGCGATTAGGACAGATTGGTTTTTCTTGCTGGGAATTAATTTTTGCGATTTTCAGAAAGTCGCGGACAAATTATTGATAATAATATTTTCGTTTTTATTGAGTACGTGAAATGGAAATACATACAATCGAAGCTCTACTTGCCACCATTCTCGTAAGCGACCAGCTCTAATTACGAACACCTTTTTGAAACCCCGTTTGAACTGCGACTTTAACTTTGTAATGAAAAGCTCTCGTAAGCGACCGCGACCACCTTTGGGATTACTTAACTGGACTTTTCCTTTGTTTTTAAGCTCTCGTAAGCGACCACTCAGACTCTTATTCATGTACATGAACTCTTAAATGAAACTGCACACTGCTCTAATGGTTCGTTGATAAAGATCTTGTACAATGCCGTATTGTATTTGTAAAAGTTCAATAAAGTTCAGATATAAAGACACTCATTAAAAACTAATTTCTTTTTTATTTCTTTATGAAGTATTAATGAGTTTCTGAAGCTCTCGGAAGCGACCACCCTCTATTGTTTTACCATGCAGTCGCGTACGAGAGCTCGGTCTCGGTCTCGGTCGCGACCAGCTCTAGTTACGACCACTATTTCGAATTTCCGATGCGGTCGCTTACAAGAGCTCCGACTGTATTTTCCAACAAAACTACGGTGTGCGTACCCTATGCAAAGGAGTAAACCAGATTACTTTTCTCTTTGTCATTCGATTACAATAGTATCTGCGGTGACTGATTGTTCTGATGATAGATCGGAAGTGATTTCATTATCAGCTGATGCATCGTCTTTATCAATTCTACCATTTGTGGGTTTCTTTCTGAACGAATGAGAAAGGTTGTAAATGAGCAGACACGATTTCCCAGTACTGAATTTTTTGGACCTTACTTAGGTTCACTCTGGGTAAATTTTTGCGGGCAAACCGTTTGCGGCAATATATATATTTGCGGATCGCAGGAAAAATCACAAGAAATAGAACCCGCATAAAATTTCGTACCACACGGTTCTCCAAAGACACAAATAAAAAGCAGTAAAGAGAAAAAAAGAAGCCAGCACATCCGTGTAAGTAATGTTTTCCCGCCATCGTATTTGGAAATATTTGATATTATTCATTTTAACAAACCTGTAGGCACTTTTCTTTTTGATCCTGGTTCACTGTACCTGACAAACACACGTATGATATGGCGTTCACGATGATCTTCCTGTTCGACTTCCCACTTGGTTTAACGTAACACTGAGGACCTAATAACAGAAACACTGACAGTTTAGAGTAGTGTTCAATCGACTGTCGTAAAACTGAAACCAAAGAAATTTCTCTGAAAAATCATAACAGGCAGACTGTCAAAAGAACCAAGCAGAACCAAGAAAATAAATGTAGCCGGCGCGGCAAAGCGCGGGGAATCAAGCACGAGAGGCGTTTGGTTTTAGATGATTGGTTCGGGGAGCGAGATAGTAATGAATACCAAGAAAGTAATCACAGTATAGTATTTCTTAAAATCCCTCGTGGTCCCGACGCTTTGCACTTGGTTCTCCTCGGCTTCGCTCACATTTTTTGCCTGCTTTCTCGGCTTTACAGCTTGACTTCAAACATAATTGGCGCGGCCAATCGAAAAAATAAAATTCTGAGTGCTCCCAACAGAAGTCAGAACTCCAACTTATAACTTTTAACAACTATTTTGGATGCTCTAAGCGCCAAACTCTGAAAGACTTGTCGGGGCTTAGCCATATCAACTAAGCTCATAACTCGGAAACATCCAACACCCTAACAGCAAATGTTCGTTTAAGTCGCAATAGATGATACGGAAATCAAAACAGCAGACCGCACATACCACTAAACTCCGCAAATCCAGAAGGCTGCGTGGGACCCTGTACGAAATAGCTGCTTGCGTCATCATTTGCATCATAGCGCTGTTCCTGAGGCCCCGGGCGGCGGTAAGTGGCGAAGGAGTCTGGGACTCGCGGGGCTTGTGTTTCTCTGATTCTCAGTTCCTGTTCGACTCTTTGTCGTTCCAATTCTTCTTTACGACGTCTTTCTTCTTCCACTCTTTGTAGCATCTCTTTTTCGCGTTGTTTTTCTTCTCTTTTTCTCTTTTTTTCAAGCTCCGCTTCCTTCCTTGTCCTGTCTTCCTCTTGTTTCTTCTGTCTCATTCGCAAGAACTTGTCTCGTTTTCTTTCTTGTTCTGGAGTCAAGCACTGCATAAATTATATGCAAACATAATATTTTAACACACGAGTTTATGCATAAGAGGTGAGATTGATTTGATTCCGGTTAAGACAAACCGCTTAAGCAAATAGAAAGGTAAATCAGATTTACCTTAAATTAAATTATCCTAAAGGGAAATTCGTAGCTGTTACATTCTAGCAACTTACCTGACTTCCGGGGCTTGTATCATCACCTATAAACATGGCCAGTCCTTTCTTGTACGGAGTGTGATGGTCCACCTCTATTTCTCCAGTACCCTCTTCAGGAGAAACAGTTTCTTGCTCAAGCTCCATATTTACAGCCGCTGTTTCAGGTCGGACCAACGGGGATGGGGTAGTCACGTGGCTCACGTCTACATTCCAACACTTCCGTGCGGGTGCAGTTTGGCGAGTAGCTGCTGGCTGTGATGACGGGCGCGTCGGTACCGAGCTGCCCTTGGAGCTTGCTTCGACCGCTGGCTGGGAAGACGGACGCCTGATGTCAGGGTTGGTTCCTGAATCATTACGAGGAGGATAATCCGATAGTCGGAACTCTCGCGTCTCAAACTGCTGACCTTGAGAACCGTGTTGTGGAGCGGGGAGGGGAGAGTTAGAAGGGGATGACCAAGCAATAGGAGGGGACGATTGATCTGGAAATTCGGCCACAGGCTTCCTCGGCTGGTCCTGGGATTGAGACTTCATAACCGTTGCCTTGTCGGATGTCAGCGCCTACAATAATTACAACATCAAAAATGCAGTGTATCTATAAAATTTACCAAACGCTGTTGAACACTTCCATTACACACTTTGTAACTGAAGGAAAATAAACAGTTTACCCTTGTTCTTTCATAACATAACCTTTGTCAAATTAATTTTGTTCAGCTAAGGACAAAAGATGAATTTACAAAAGCTAATTTTGCAGTGTTCAAAACTGTTTTTAAGACATCGCATAACTAACCTCAAACCCAGGTCCCTCTCCAACAGCCTGACCTCCTTGAGCTTTGCCGATTACATACCAAAACGCAGTTTGTCCCAGTCTCCGACGCTGATCCTCCCACTCAGCTTGGGCACGATGTTTCTCAGCCTCGATATGGCGCCGTTTTTCGTCAAGCTGCATGCGCAGGTAAGCCAGTTGTGACGTCACAGCTTGATCATCTTCGGCATCGGCCGGCTCCAATTCCTCAATTTCACCTTAAACACAAGCCTTTGTTAATCGCACGTCGTTACAAACCCATGAACGTCACGCAATCTAATGTCAATTAAAATTGTTTACCCAAACAGTTACCTAACAAAACAGCTGGTACTGGACTATGGAAAAACAACACCGTGACTGCAGAAAAGAGAAATTTAGGTATGTTGTGATTCCCTTTGTTTATACTTCTTGTCATCATTACCATAACCAAAAACAAAGGAATTTTAACATTGCAGCAAGGATAGAATTGAGCCACAACACGTACATTCACAAAGGGTGATCAACACAGTTCTACCAGACCTATTTTTGGCCTCTTCAAAAATACACCACTATACAGCATGGCCTAATCTTACCTTCTTCATTACCTAAGGCGAGCTGTTTCACGGAAATCGTTTTTTTCCCACTGAATGTAAATTTGCTTGTCCTAACTAAATAAAGTACTAATGACTACAAATGAACGCCTAATGTGAATCTGTACTTCTTCATTCCCTATTTGATTTCGTTTTTAGGATTTGATGAATTCGCTTTTTTTGCTTTTTTTTTGGCGCGGGGGGGGGGGGCTGGGGGGGGCAATTTCTAGTCAGTGAATTTTATCTCAAGAACTTCGGCGTGAATAGAGAGGAGAAAATGATCAGCCATAATAAATCCTCGCGGGTAATCATTATACCAACAAACCTTTTGCCTCCGAACGAGAATCGGTTATTTGATTAAGAACATCAGTAGGAGATATTCCACAGTCATCGGCAACATCCATGAGACTCGCAATTTGGTCTAAGACACTGCCGCTTGGGCGCCACGTGGCCCGTCCACGAGTAGGCGCGCTGCTTGACACTGCCAAAGGCTCCTTTGTTTCTAGCCCCACTATTTCAGCATCCCTTGTGGGTACCAAGTCAGTATCAAGTGTACATTTGTATCCGGAAACTTGGCGATTTCTATCAGTACTTTCCAACTTGTTGCAATTGGATGAAGAGGTGGCGTTTTTTGTATCCCTAACGTCTTTTTTAGGTTCCAAAACACCAGAAACCTTTTCAACCTTGTCATCGTTAATCTGGAATTTCGAAAATGTTTGCTGGGGACGAGTAGAATCAAAGAACTCTATTACAAATGAATCAGGGTTTGACTGCAAAGGGTTTGGTTTCTTCAAAAACTGTCGTTTTGGTTTTGGTGGCGACTTCCTTCTTCCAATACTCGATTTAATAGGAATGGAAGTGTTTTGATTATGTTCGCTTAGTTCAAACTCTTTCGTATCATCTGATTTCAAAACAATACTGTTTGACAACTTCTCAAGAGCTTCGATCACCGGTATATCACGTGATATCTCGTCCATGTGATCAAGCGTAAACGTTCTTCGGTTGGAGTCTTCGCTGACGTGCGAAAGCTCTATGGCGTTGTCAAGGTCTTTAACTGGAGCAACAACTTTTGCTAAATTCAAATCTTCATTTGAACTGTCAAGAATGTATGTATTGGCTCGAACACGCGAAGACTCAAAACTCTGAGAAGAAATATCATTATCAGAGAACGAAGACACAAATCCAGAATCGACAGACCGAGGTCTGACGTCCTTGAAGGACGCAGCTGGTTCGGCAGGTTTTTCAAAGCTTATGTCGTCTAAGAAATCCTCTACTGAAGTACCAGACTGGAATGCCTCCTGCACGGCGAACGCAACGTCGCTTAGTGAATAAGCCTTTCGTATGGATGGAGGATAAGGAGACCCGTCGGGGGTGGTGAAAGAGAACTGCCCCTTTATGGCTGTTTCAGAGTAGCGTTTCCGTTTCCGATTATCCTTTCCTAATTGCGTTATTGGTAAATCTCCGTTCATTGCCGCTAACGAGAATTCCGCGAGTTCATTTGTAAGTTCATCTAGTGCTTGTATCACAGGTATTCCTGCCATTTTGGCATCTTCCAGAGTTCTACAAACATTCTCCAGCGAGTGTGTGTACCTGTCACTCTCTTTTTCGGTCCCGTCGTTTATAAGGTCTGAATCAGATTTGGAGTTAAGACGCATGAGATTTGTCCTTTGAGACGCTTCTGATTTCCCAACTGAACTTACGTCTTTTAGCGTCTCTACAACCGGAATTCCCTTCGCTTTTGCATCGTCAATTGTCAGTGAGACGCTTTCCAAAGAATACGTATTCCGTTCGGACTCAGTGGTGCAAGATTCAGGACGAAGTTCGTTTGACCCAAGCACAGAATCGTTATTCGACGTATTCTGCCGAGAGCTTTCTGTTCGCTGAGGATCTCTTGCCATTTCTTTAGCATTCGCTTCAAGCAGACGCTCGCAAGCTGATGTTAAATAATCCAACTTTTGAACGACACCAAGGCCGCTAGCGATATTTTCACTATTGTGTGGTTTTGATGTCAAAGCTTCTTGGGATTTGAAGTGGAAACTTATCGGCGACATCATTCGTTTTTGACTTCCATCATATAGACGTAGCTTGGTTCCCTCGCCGATGGTCTCCAGAGGACTGGCCAGTGCGTAGGTCTTCCTGTTGATTAGTTTCTCTTGTCTTCGATGTACAGCATCTGGTGTCTGTCTAACGGGGGAATCTTTAGAAGAAGTCAAATGTCCTAACGCGTCAACAACTGGGAGTCCCCTCTGCTTAGCATGTTCTAAAGTGTGGCTGACTTCATCAAGGGTGTAAGTACCCCTGTTGTCTGCTCCTTGGTCTGGTATCTTAAGTCGCAACGGGCTCTTTGGTTTGTCCTTTGCCAAAGCCCCCAGTACTTCAATCACAGGTACTCCAGTAATCTTAGCGTGTTCAATTGACTTTGACACTTCATCTAAAGTGTATGTCCGCCTTTTGTCAACACTTTCTTTCTCTTTACACTCCTTACTTGTCTCTTTATTTCTTGCCAAATTCTCCAAAGTTTCCACTACAGGAATGCCTTGTTCCGAAGCAGTTTGTAATGCACATGACACTTCATCCAATGTATAAGTTCCTCGCCTTTCTTCAGACAGCTGAATCTTCACACTTCCGTCCTCGGAAAGGTCATTTTTTGATAAATGCTCAAGCGTCTTAACCACAGGAACGCCATCTTTCTCACCATCTTGAAAAGAAGTAGACACGTCCTCAAGGTCGTATGTGCCTCGTTTCCCTGAGTTCACCGCATGGGGCCGTTCGCGCCTATGAGATGTTGGAAACTCTTCGTCGCTGTCGCAAGTCACGCAATCCTCAAGTTGTTCTAGGGCGTCTTCAAAGGTAGCTTCAAACTCGTCTCGGGTGATGGACGACAAAGCGTGTGCATCACATCTTTTTGGTTCATACGTCCCATCCTCAGTGGAGTTATCACTGCCATGATGAACATGGGAATTCCGCTGCTGCTTTTCCTCCTTCGCTAAGTGGTTTAGTGTCACAGAAACTGGGATTCCCTTCTCTACAGCCTCCTCAATAGCGTGAGAAACTGTATCTAAAGTGTAAGTTCCTCGATTCTGAGGATTTGGCTGACTTGTCACTTCTGAAGTTGTCTCAGCAAATGAATGGCGTTCCTTCTCAGATGCGAGCGAATGAAGAGCCTCCACTGTGGGCAAGCCTTTCTCTTCAGCCTCTTGCAAAGTCTGTGACACAGAGTCTAAGGTAAAGGTGCCACGCTTTGGAGTGTTTTCCTCGTCAGTTGACAAGGTCGATGACTGTAACTCATTTTTATTCGCGAGCTGTAATAATACTTGGCTCACAGACAAACCCTTGTTCTGGCCTTCTTGAAGAGTTTGCGACACAGGTTCAAGAGTAAACGTCCCGCGCTTTACGACAGATTCGTTATTAGCTGCGACTTTCGATGGCTGACATTCCTCCTCTTTCGCCAGCTGAGACAAAACCTCTGATGGAAACCAGCCTTCATCAGCTCCCCTTTGTATAGAAAGCGAAACCGAATCCAAAGTGTACGTCGATCGCTTTTCTGCTGATTCTTGTCTCTCGTCTGAAGGTGAATCCGTTTTGTTTGAGTTGACACGTTCATTTGGAAAATAAGTTTCGATCGCGTTATCAATTTCTCGAGACACGCTCTCCAAAGTAAATGTACTTCGTTTTAGGGGTGTTTCGTCTACAAGCGCCGAGGAATCATCATGTGACTGCTGTTGGCATTGCTTTAATTCTTCCTTACTTGCTAGATCGTTTAGTATAGTTGTTATAGGTAGACCTTCACCATCTTCGTTCTCTGTCGACTGTGGCAAGCGTTCCAACGTAAAAGTGTCACGTTTTCTCTCGTCAGAATTCACGTCCACGAATCCGTGCCTTGTCACTGCCTCTTCCAGCTTGACATCTGAGCAAGTCAAACCAGCCTCGCCTACGTTCGATCGCTGTAGCTGAATCTTTGCACTCGATTTCTGTTGGTACTTGCGATTTGAACGCGTCTTTAAGGCCATAAACGGGGAATGCAATACACCTGGTTCTCCCTTTGCCCGTTTTGATTGAGGTTCGTCATCAAAGCCCACCTCAAATGCCACGAATCTGTCCTTAACAACGCCCTGTTCGTTATCAACAGTTCCAGTTTCTCCTTTATCAATCGCCACTAATTCCCCATTATTTGCGGCTTCCTGCTCCTTCTTATTTACCGTTCCGAATTTTGCACTATTTATGGCTTTGACTTCCCTGTTATTTCCTAGACCGAAATCCACGGATTCAAGGTCGCTGCTATTTAGGATTTTAGGTTCCCGCTCATTTATAGCTCGCGTTTCACAAGCTGACTTTCTCTGCAGATCTTTAGTACGAAATCTTGACGTTACACGGGGAGGTGGTTGAGGTTTAGTGGCTTTTTGAAAGTCAATGTTAAACGCTACACCCTTTCCAGTGGTCAGGTTGGACTGTTCCCTACCTGACGTGACATATTCTTTGGTTGGTGTTAAATCCAAGCGTGACACACCGGCCGCGGCCGACAACGCTGCTATCCGGTCCCGAATACTTCCACCAGCAGGGGTGTCACGTTCAGAAGCGGTAGAGATTGAAGAAGGATTCTCAAATGTTTTAGGTTCATTTTCAAGAGAGGTGAAGGCTGAAGCACTTGATATTTTCCCATTTAGCAAAAACCTAGAGGCAAAAGCTGTTTGTTTTTTATTTTCCGACGAAGGAGGGACAGGTGCGCTTTGTTTCCAAGGAGACGTCTCGTCTTGGAACAGAGGTTTTGAGCGAAAGGCCGTCGCTGCCATAAAATGCGGTTTCTCATGGGTGAAAAATTCATCAGCTGAGTGCTTCGTCCGTGTGTCGTCCTGCATGCAACCTGCAAAATAATATGAATATTAAAGTCAATAAACTGCACACCAGACGAAAATAAATACTGCCTATACATAACAAATGGAGATAGTTTAGTGAAAAAAGTGACATCGCCAAAACACACGACCCAATGACAGTCGACGGCAACAAATTTAAGCATTCGAAGGTCTGCGATAACACTGAACTTGAAGCGATCAATTTCACATTGCATAAGACAGGAAAAGAGAGATGTTGGGGGAGGGGGAGCAGATTAATTTGCAATTTGTGGTGGACGTATAAATACGCCTTCCAATCATAAGTGATTATATCACCCCTCGCGTGTCTCCCTCTCTTGCGCCCATATTACTTTCATGCGCCTGCTAAGTTATACGAAGGCTAGGCCGGCTCTTGAGGTTAAAGTTGGATTTGCTATTTGATAGGCCAGTATATATGACAAACATCGGGAATAAGAACTGACAACCACTAACTTTGAGAATGCCACCCTTGGTGTTTTATTTCCGTTCCAAGATAACAGAAGAGGCCACGATTTACAGTGGCCAAGTCTGAGAGCCAGCATACGAGACATGCCGGGGGTGTTGTCATGCCGGAACCTAACAGAGCAAACTCAGCTCATGCTAGGCAAATATATTACCAACCCCTAGATGAAGCACTGTTATTGCGCACACATGATGGACTATATAAAACGGGATATAAAATTGCTTACATTTTCATTAACAAAATATTATGTTCTGTAGAGGCTTTGTACATGTATGCCATTTTGTGGTGCATGCGCTACTATTGGCGCTATATAAAAAATATATTTCTTAAAATTTTTTCCAGACGTCTGTCCATTCAAAAACCCGCGATAGATTGTCAAACAGAATGCCAAAGAGTAGCTCAAAGACCTCTAAGGATTTGTGGCTAAGGTAAATGGCTGATCCGTCTTGCGCTAATGATGAAAAAATAATTCCTTCGTGTGTGGTTTCACCAAAAAATGTTTCAAGAACATGATAGCAATATAATCACAATGAACATGTTTGTGATGCAAAATGAAAAACACAAATGAAGTAACAGGATACAAAATAAACATGGAATGGTGGCTCTATGAAAAATACAACGATAAAAAGAATCCTGGCTTCCACGGTGCTTCGGTAAATACAGAACTGACTTGCCAAAAGGCATCTGCTCGTGATAATGAAATTCATCATATAATCAGTACTTACATGAAAATTTGTCTAGCAACCCCCTAACGAGTCAAAAATGTACAAAATGCAAACACGACTGAACTCAATTTTGTAGAAATTAAACAGGACATAAAACTTTCTCCTGTAAACAGCGACTAAAAGGCGACATTTAGACAAAAAACAAAATCACTTCTCAAGACCAGTGCGTGAGAGCAATATTCATTATGCTTTAGCTCAATATATGCTTTGCTAGATAAAAAATAATTGGAAAATGATCATTGTAAATATTGTATATTGAATCCAATAAAATATCGAACTTTCTCAGACAAGCATTTTAAAATTTTTTCGCGCATTTCAAACATAAACTATTTAGAACAACTATTACATGATTATGTTAAGTAAAACAACGAACAAACAAGGTTTTTCGAAAACAGATCGTATACGAAAATAATCTACTCTGCAGCTTCTAGGGAATATATTAAACTAGGTTCTCCTCCGATACCCGCCTCATGCAAATGTTTTTAAAGTCTTTTATTTGGCAAGAGCTAACACTTCTACAATTATACTGGAATCTCGTTGTGTTGCAAGGCTAACTTTCGGGTCTATGGATAAAACACTGCGTCCCTTACGAGCATTTTTTTCCTCTCTGAAAAGAAATCGTAGTGTGACCATTCATGTGAAGGTTATAAGCAAGTCATATCCTGGGGTACTATTAGATTTAAATATTGGTGAATACTTAAATTCATGCATGGTTATGAATCAGCTTGAATTCTCAGACAGTAAATTGTTAGCTATACTTTGTTTAAATGAATTACAGTGGAATACCTTGAATTCTCTTCCAACAGACATTTAAAAGGCCCAGCAATATGATACACTCAACAAACCATCATGAGTGGACATAAACACGTCCACTTCCGGTGACGGTGTCGTACGACAAACTCCTTGGGAAATTTAATGATCGGCGTGGCTATTTTCAGTTCTTTCGACTTGATTTTCGTGAATTTCAGGGAGGATTTCCCGTTAGAGTCAGAGCACAAAAATGTCAAACAGATGCTTAGAGCCAAACGTGGTTAAAACGAATGTAGATCGCTCGCCATAACACCGCGTCTGTAAGCTATATCCAACAGTATTCTACCATTTCGTTCACATACGAGTCGTCGTTTACAAGGCAAAAGGTTATTTTGGCTTTATGACGTTTCATTCAATCCAACATCAAAGTCCTTCGAATTTCATTCCTGGGTAGTGACATCATAACAAGCGATGCTTCGCTTACAGAATAGAACGCGGTGATGTAGCAGTTCGATAAAATCCTCGGCGTACACGTTGACTATTTAAATATCGGCTGTTCGCGAATTTCCCTCTTTCACTATCTCCTGTCGGGCTGGATCGCACACGCTGAGTTATTTGTAAAAGATCTAAGAGATCAGCTGAGTTTAAACCAGTGTAACAACGCAAAAACCGATTAAAAAACGCGCAAAAACATATCCATTGCCACGATTATCAAAGATAATATATTCAGTTTTCAACATGCAAATTACAGACTAGAGCTGTGCGCGCGAAGTACAAGCACATCAACAATCATTCTATTCGCATACATTATTCATTATTAACGTTAAGAATGTAGGTAAACGTACCTTTCTTCTGCAGGTCAAAGGGATTTCTCTGCGTCCAAGCAAGATGACTTGAAAGCGTCTTCATCACCGGCGGCACGGCTTTGTCAGCTGCGAATCACTCATGCGTGTTTAAAGTGAGTGTCAAAAAAACACGCGAAAACACAGTCACGTTATTCGACACTAACGCGAGATCGAAGGCTTCTCACAATCGCAGTAAAACCACGCAAACGGACCTTTACAAGAATATTTCTCACTCTTCTGAACAAGTCAAACAGTAGTAATTGCCGATAAACGGATAAGAAAGCAGTAAAGCAGTATTGATCAGTCTACAATGAATGAATTTGAGAACGTTTGTTACAATACCAATTTCCTGAATTTGAGATAACGAACCAAATCAGCTTAAGTTAAGGATGTAAAAGGGTGTAGTGTTTGTCAAGTAAAACAAATTGCTTCGGCCGCACCTCGGAATTACTTCATCAAACGGAAAAGAGAGATTAAAGCAAGCAGATCGCTTCCACCGGCGGATATACACCAGCTGTCTTCTGCAAGAAAAACAACTTTTCTGTAATTTAGATACAAAATATATAATTATAGCCATACTTGACATTTATGGCGCTGGTCAAATATTTCCTGCAACATGGTCGACACATCTCTAGAAATAGTCTTCTTCACAAGGTTTGTTTTTCACCTCAGGAGATACGCGAAAAAAGTAAACATTATCATTGAGTCACTTTTAACGTAAAAAAAAAATTACAACCTTTCGTTTGGAAAGCACACAATTTTTGAATACATGAAACTAAGCCAACTTGAAATAAAAACATCAATATAATCCAGACAACAAGAATCTTGCCATAATGATTTTCAAAACTGCAACAAGCTTTGTTCGTCACGAGAACCCAAAAGGTGAGTTGTAAGTCAACCAATCTCTACGACTTTGCCCGCAAAATCAAATCATATTTAGGATGAGGTTCTTTTCCAGCTAGATAAGGAACTTAATAAATTGTGAAGAATGTTCTAAATAACTGACTGATTAGAAGCATATATTAGTGAAATGGCAACCTGAATTGAACAATTTCTTTTCTAAAGGATGAAATCTGCCTACAATTTGCCTTACAGATCCGCTATTGAGTTTATGGTTACTAATTATCACGAGATATGGATATAAGAATCTTATCTCTTCGGTGAGCCTTCCACACTGGTTCCAGCCTGTCGTTATTGTTCTCTGAATCTTACTTGCAAAGCAATATAAAGAGCAGCTATCCAAGATAGTTTGCGACTGAACTAAATTATGTTGCAGGCAAACTGCACAAACAAAAGCAATGAATTGTTTTGCATTGTTTGGTTTTGAAATGTTCTTAACCGCTCGCGGGCCACACTCTTGTAATAAGTTTTTGTGTAAGATGATGTCAGATAGAGTGCAGATAGAGCCTAGGAGATCACTTTGGACTCACCATAAATAGTATGCGGTTTACAGCAAGGAAAGTTCTTATTTCCGTAAGTTTTGGAAGTTTTCACCTATTCAGTTCTCTCTTGTCCAGTACCAGCCAAGTTCTTACCATCCCCTCCCAGCATTTCTTACCTTTTTCATTGAGCATAACTTGTCCTCCTACCCCACTCTTTGCTGCAGTAAGCCAACTGATCCTCGCCCCAGGGCTTCCACGTCCTGTCTGTCTTGGGCTGCTACGCCTTCTGGGACTGCTTGTTGGGCTGTTAATCTCGTGTGCAGTCTATTCGAAGAGACAGCTGGTCAGTAAATTGACAGGAGGCCTGGGCCACTGTATGTAGTTAGTTTCGAGCGAAGTTTATGCCACAATCACACAACAAAATTAATCCACGAGTTGTGCTCGGCTCGATAAGCTCTAATCCAAGGTTAAATGGGCTAAGTTACCCTGTTTACTATCTTTTTTTTTAAGATTATGTTCCAGTTTTGTTATTTACGATTATATCTCGGCACCGAAACTGTTTAATGTCGTTTGTCGCGACGGATGGCAGGGATGGTCGTGAATTGAAACTTGGCAAAGTTGGTCCAACTTTTTCGCTCTGCCTGTAAAAATCACCAAGAAAATTACTATGGTTAATGCTCCCTGATGGAATTTGTTTGATTTCTTCTCCATAACTCTACAGAAGCATTTTGTGTATGTATAAAGGAATTAGGTAATGACCTAGACAGAGAATTGACCTAAAACGGAAATATCCTCGTGACGTACATAGCTCCTCCAACGGTAAATGGAACATATTAGTTGCTATGGTAACCAAGCCTGGATTTGGTCTATTTTTTTTTTTTGGAACAATTCAGCCTGAGTTTAATAAAAAAAAAAATCAGTGATTTTCATAAGGGGTTACAGTTTCTTTTAACTTGCGCTTTCAATGGTGGTAATCACTTTGTAGTCGAACACCAGCAGTGGGCAACTGTTTTTTCAGTAAAATTTCTAAACATTTCGGGACGCCACCACCGGTTTCCCCCAAAAATGACGTCTGAGGAACAACTGCAGAAATTCCATTTGATGACGTGTCACTACGCAGTTCAGGTCGTGGCATGAGGGAATTTGCTTCAACCAATCAGAAGCACTATCCAGATCTGTGTAGTGACAACTCATCAGTAAAAAATAGGCCCTTTGCAGCTAGCCATTCACTTCCCGTGCTGAAGAGCAAAAAAGTCGCACCGGGACAAGACAAACAAACTAGACATACATAATTTTAAGGAAAAGTTTCCTTTGTTTGGAATGTCCCAGTTCGACTTCTGCTCTCCAGCATGGCGGTGTTATACCGCGTGAATGGTAGCTGCAAAGGGCCTATTTCTGCAGTCGTTCCTCAGACGTCATTTCGCGGAGAAACCAAAGGTAGCGCGACGCGAAATATCGGCTGTTTTCAGTGGCTAGTCTAATTGACTAAGTCGCATACTCAGTATTTCTAAAGGTGGTGAGCTGTCTGTCAAAGTCATAAGGGCAGTTTTAAAGGAAAGGGGAAAGGGAGTTTTAGGCGCGAGAGAAACGCGAGGGGCGCGCGAGGAGGAAGGGAAAGAAACGCCGTTTCCCTCTCTCCCTGCTTACCGCCCCTCGCGTTTCTCTCGCGCCCAAAACCCCCTTTTTCCTTCCTTTTCAAACACATGACACGAAGGCTAGGGTAGTTTTTCCTCTCTTACCTTTTTATCAACACTCGCATTTAATTGCCTCATTAGCCTCGCCCCAGCCTCCGGCTCGTCTGTCCAGCTAATTCTGTGCGGATTATCACTTCCTGCTCCCTCTGGACTGACTCGGATGTTTGTGACTACAGTCTGCTGACCAGAAAGTTTTCCGCCGCTGCTGGATAAAGATGTGTTCCTGCCGTGTCCTGAAGAAGTATTTGCATTTGTAACATGATCATCAACGATATTCCCATCGGGCGTTTTCCGAAATGTTCTCGAGCGGGTAATGTAAGATGAGCCAGATGAACGTGTCTGCACCTCCTCCACCCCTCTTGGGAAAGCCTGCCTCTCATCACCCTCACCTTCCTTGTTGGAGTGAGGTGTCGCAGATACTGGTGCTTGCTGGATATCAGAGCGCTCTGAAGCGTTAGCGTCGTGTAAACCCTCAACACTCTCCTTATCATGACCCTGTTTATCCTTTTGTTTCCTTGAAAACGTGGAAAACCTGTCAGCTTCAATGCTTCTTCGATCATACGTGGAACCTGTTGAAGACTGCGCCGTCAGACTGCCCGAAAGAGCATCACTTGTCCCTTTTCTGAAAGTTGTAAATCCGTCAGACAGCCGCAGATCCAGGGCAGGATCGTTGGCTTCAATCTCTTCCCTCGTTACTTGCGGCGCTGAGTCTTTTCTAAACGTCGAAAGTCCATCCGAATGTCTAAGATCTCTAACGCCTTGTCCATGGGTTTCCTGAACGATGCGATAGTGCGGCCTTCCATCAGAAGAGTCGCTTGCCTGATCTGGACCGTCAGTGTACTGCTTTTGTTCATCCTTATGAGATTTTTTACTGTAAGTACCACAGTGAGCCGCCTGCCGTATGTCCTGTAATCTTTGATCAGCAGTATCCTCATCATACGAAGTTGCAGGGCTGTTAGCTTTAAATACCTCTCTACCGGCCAGTCCGCTCTGTGCACCTACCTTATAAGTTCGGAAGTCTCCAGAAAGATTAATTTTATAATTCTCAACTGTATCTTGGTTAAAATCAAAGACGGGCGATTCAAAATTACTCGATCGTGTTACAGTTTCAGTATTATGCTGCTCAGTTTGGCCTGTCTTAGAGTTTGAATTTTCTTCAGGAGGATTTGAAAGAGAGCGCTCAAAAATAACCACATCATTCGGGCTGTCCTGAGATGCCATGTCACGCGCTAGCAAAGCCGCTTCTTGGTGGGCACCGTCCCGTTTCCCAAGGTTTAAAGAGGGTGAAGGCGCGGGCGAGCTCTCGAGCGAGTCCCGTCGCCCATCAACAGCCTCCGTTGCAGCGTCAGTCGTTTCAACGCCACCGGAAGACAAAATAAGTGGTCTTAAGCCTGATAGATCTTGACTTGAATCCGCTTCAGTCTGGATAAAGTTCCCACTTTGAAACAAATCGCTCGAAGCACTGGTTGAAGAGTTAGTCCTTTCAGCAACAGAGCCGCTAGCTACTTCGAAGGACCCACCAATTTCTGACATTTGCCTACCCTCTCCGATCACAGGAATACCAGCGGCTTTGGCAGACTCTACAGACACTTGACCAACAGTATAGCTACCGCGTACAAGTTGCTCATATGATTTACTATGAGAAGGAAAAAGACCGGCCTTTTCTCCTGACTTTCCTTGAATTCTTGGAGTCGCGCTCATTTCTGGATCAGCTTGGAATTCATCTTCCTCCTCCCCTACAAGAGTCTTCTCCATGTCTTCCCTGCTTTTTATACTGAATCTTTTACTTTTTCTGTCAAGAGTACTTGCGGGTGAAGTAGTAAAGAAGGCCGGCATAAAAGGAGCAACGTCCAAAGGCGAACAAGGACTGCTAGGCGCAGTGGAATTAGCAGAGGTCACCGAGTTTGGATTGGAAACTAGAGGCTCTGTTGTCTCAGCTATAGGAGACAGCTGATCACTGGGATCGTCCGCAGGCGCGTCTGGCACTTCGAGATGGGCGCGTTGATCTGGTGGATTGCTGGAAACGCTGACCGCGTTATTGCGGGCGAGGAGTATAGGATCATCGCCGTCTTCCATTTCAGCGCCATCGGGAATTTGTCGTAATTTATCTTCTGTAAGACGCTGCAAAACCTCAAGCCGAAACATGTTCATGTCCTCGCTGCTCACGCTGGTATTCAGGTCGTCTTCATCTTCTTGAGGTAACGGCGCTTTTGGAAAATTGCCTTTCGATTTTGCAAAGGTGCGGGGAGTCTCTACACTTTTTCCAGCCAGGATTTTGGCCTCGATCTCCTCGAACTGGCTCAGCTCCTTGGCTGAAATATCGCTCATGTAGCTGTCTCTTACACCTGTAAATAAAACATGTTACGGTATTTACAAGTGTCAGGAACACGAGCATCGCATCACAAACTTTTGGCGAGAAAAACTAGAACATCGTCACAGGAAAAGTCTACGACACAAGCGCTATTTCAAGGCAAGAAAACATGTATGAAATAGACCTCTCTACCTAGGATTGATTGTTTTGAATCTTCCATTTCAGAGCATCAGGTTAACGTTAATGTACATGTTAATGCCTTGTTTATAGTTGCTAGTTTACGGACACTCTTATCAATTAATCTAAATGAAAAACAACAAGGTATAAAACCCTAACAAGCAAAAGGGAAATCAATATTGGCTATAAACAAGCACAGCTGAAGAGATACTCGCGACGACCAAGAGAAAAACTCCAGCTAGTGGTTAGCTTGGGAGGGGGTTGAATTGAAAGCTCTGGAGAGACCCTTTCACGGTTGTTTGAAGTATTGTTAAGGGCCAAATAGCGGCTATCTGTTGACACTGCTAGAAAGAGCGCCTTAAATTCAGTAAACTGAATACATCTGAAGCGACGGAAGATATTAATAGTTTCGCAACGTCGCGAAATTTTTTAGACTTTTGTATGGTCGGGGCGCGAACTTGCTCCCCACCAAAGAAACGTCTGTAAAATTTTGCGACTTTGCGAAGCTTTATCTTCGTTAGTTTTCAATAAATCACTCGCAAACTTGGCAACGTCAATTATTTTAAGGGGTTCTTTATAGCGGTGTCAACGGATTTTCGCTGACTGCTCCGTGTCAAAAGCAGAAGAAAAAACTGTGGAAGGGTCTAATGGACGACTCCGAGACGCTGATTATTTGGCCATTTTGCCCTTCTAGAGAACTATTTCTTTCAAATTTTATTTTACTTAACGCACTGATACATGAAAAATTAATTTAAACGCCACATGTCTATTGGTGGGGCAAAAAAAAACAACAAATCAAGCTAAAGAAGTCTTTTTTGTAAGAGAGACGCATTTTGAGGCAAAGAAAAAGTTGGGTCTACAACAACCGTTTTCTGGTGTAACGACGGGGCGGGTGGGGTAAACGTTCTTCTACGTTAAAACCATGGTCATTGGTTTTAAACAACTTTGTTTGCTGACTACTCTCTCCTTACCCCATTAACAATATCCCCATTGAGCAAACATTCCCGCTAAGTCTATTTCGATACTTAAAGAGCAACGTTATTCCACTAAGTCTTATTTCAACCATGGACAACCTATACCTATGTTAACTCAACCTGTACTTATATCATCTCAGTACGACAAATGATCCCTTACCCACTGCTGCCAGAGATTCCCAGGGTTTATCCCCAGTAAATCTGGTATTAAGACTATCAACTGAAGACAGACTGTCCCGTGACGTATGCTCTTCCCGTTTAGTGGCTATTCCTGATGACTTTATTGCTGCATGGATCCCTTCAGCACCCTTCTGGGGAACACTTCCCTCTCTACCCTTCTGAGTGACATTGGTTGTTAGGTTTGGTCTGATGAGACAGAAACAGAATAAAGACACAACATAATGTAAGTTACTCGGTATCATCATTTAAGAACCCACGAATTCCTGGTGAATTATGCCATGTTCTTCATCTAAAGAACTTTGGAAGTTAAGAGAAAACTTAGTGCCCCTAGAAATAGACATGCCACAAGTTTAGTCAGTGGGAAGCTAATATTTGGAATTTTTGGTGATGCGTTTACTTCAGAACAGTGCTTATTTGATAAAAAAAAAAAGTTGTGAAGCACTGTCTTCCTTACAGACTGTAAGTACAGATGTAGCACTTTTTCTAAATCAAGGCAACACAAAAAAATGGCCTTAAATTGTAAGGAGCTAAACAGCACCAAATTTATCTAATACTGGTAATTTATTTATCTTTTATGGCTGGCCAATCAAGCAAGTTGCGATGGTAACATACTTGACTGATTGGCTATTTTACAGACGCCACAGGCTACAAGACAGAAGTTCTCTTGCATCCTGCAGATGTGATTCATATTTCTGGTAAGTTAATCAGTTATGTTTTTTGAGGGAGGAGGGTACACAATATCCTAAATTTAAAACACGCTTGTGAAATGAACATGACTTACAAGCTTGACAACTTTTAAAAGACCCACCTAAAGTCAAGTGATATTCTTTGATTCCTACTGGACGACAGATTGGTGTCTGATAAACTCGCTCCAGTCTCCTCTCGCCAGGCATGAAATGACTGCCTTGGTTCTACTGGAGCAGCTTTATCAAGGCCACTTAGCGACTGGGACCTCTGGAGATCATTGAGATGCAGCTCTGGATTGAAAGACACAATAATATATTAGGCAAGGACAAAGCCTTGAGTCTGTTACAGCAGACACTAATTTTCAGAAGTGACCCTGCATTACCAAAATGGTGTCAGTAAGTACAATATTTCAGTAAACAAAATTAGCAACATCCCAAATTGCTTTATTTTTATATACACTATAAAGCTTCGTCATTTATCTTATTACTTTTCTGGTATAAAGTAATGCTTAGAAACTTATTTATTGGGTATAATACATGTTAGACTGCAAGCAGTGCTGTATTTTTCTTTTGAGTCACGGTAGACCAAAAGCACCCATGGGGGTCAAACGGTGAATCTGAGAGGAATGAGTGCAGAAGTCTGAGCGATGACTACTAATTTGCATAATTAGGACGGAAGCCATCAGGGAGTTGAGTAATTTTAATTTCCAGTGGACAAAAACCTTGTACCAGATTAAATTTAAACAATATCACATTCTTTTTTACAGTTTTCAAGAGCTATAGATGTAAACAGTTATCTGTAATAACACGGCAGAAAATTTCTCATGAGAGCCCGAGAAAACAAATGTCTCAGACATGAAATTCTCAGAATTTGACCTGCGTTTTCACCGTTCTTGTGAAATTTGACATTTTATTGTCCGCTGAAAACTGAAATTACAGTGGAACCCCATCAATATGGTCACCAATGGGCCAAAAACATTTGGCCCTGTTAACAGGGTGGCCGTATCAACGAGGGTTTTTTTACAAGAAAATGTATGGCGGTTTTTGCCAGGCGGCCAAAAAAAGTGGCGGTAATAACGAGGTGGCCGTAAGGTAGGGTTTCACTGTACTCAATTTCCTGATGGATTCCATCTTAATACTTTTTCACTTGCCGCGTGCGGCTCTAAGTAATGACAGCTGCTCGTGGTCTAAACACATGTTTGCACCTGCACAAGGTTGGTATTTGCTGTTATTTAGTCATTTTGGCAGACACCTCTAAGGGAAAGCAACAGCCAGTGCTGGTCCCAGTATTGCTGATCTTAGAGAGAAGTCACTGCATTTTATCTTAAGATGACAATCATGAATGGATTGAAGAGGTCTGGCCTAAGGTCACTTGTCACTGTCTGACATTTTGGCAATAACTCAAAGTACTTCCTCAAGGCATCAAGGTGGGAAACAACGAAAAGAATAAAACTTGAGTAAATCCCAGTTGCTGCGACTGATTTTATAATTTTGTTACACTGATTAGTTTTAAAGAAAAATAGAAAATATATTATTTTTAAGTGGTTCATATAATACTTATAATATTCCACAACATACCTTGTAGATATCTCTGAAGAATGCTTTTATCTGTGAAGTTGGATTTTTAACATGTTTATACTTTTTCAGTTGTTATAGAAATATTTATAATAAAGAATTTAAAATTCACATGACTACTTGAGGTGCCTGATACAACCTTCCAGGGATATTCAAAATAAACAAAAGGATAATACTGTAACATTTTAAAGACTGAATTTTATAACTATCACAAAAATTTATTCTTGTAAATTTATAAAATTCAGGTCTTAAAAAAAAACAAATCATTAAGTTTCACAGGAGAATTCAAGAGAATCCCATGGGTTGGAGAAGTTTAAAATAATATAACATTACTCTTGTGAGTATCACTTCCACTTTAAGAGAAAATACTAAAATTTATGTATTCTATAAAATGACATGGAAAATTACTATTAAAATGCTGCTTTTTGTAGGCTCCAAGGAAGAACCTCATTTCTGCATTTTTTTTTTAAGATTTTTAAAGTTTAAAACACATTACTGTTCATATTGTGCAAAAAAAAATTAAGATTAAGACCTTTGTTTTTTAGGGTTTCACTCAAAAAGATCTCTTCTTTGAAATCCAATATTATATAATGATTGCGTTTTGCTACTCACAGTTTAAATGTTAGTTTAACTAACAAAGTTACAAAATTAAGCGAAGTTATGGCAGCAAGACTTGATTTTTGATAAAATACCATTTAAACCATGTTACATCAAAGCTTTCTTCAGCTCCAATTCAAAATAATCAATTTAATTGAAGATGATGGAAAGGAAATTGATTATTTTGCTCCAGGCTAAACCTTTTATTTACCACTTTAAAATATCAAACATAAAAACATTCCGTGAGAACATTCACTTAATCATCAATATCACCCTCTATTATCGATCAGGCTTGGATTACTACCAAAAATACATTGGCATTTCTTGATACAACTGAACACTGCATTCTCAAAGTCAATAAATAACAATCTTTTGGCTCAGGTGGGTGAATCTTGATACCCAATGAAACACCAGATAAAGCACTCACCAGGTTTTCATCAGAGATCAAATACTTGCATTTTAATGAAATGTCATTATTAATTTTTATTAACACAACCCATGGAAACAAAGTAATACCAGAGAAAAAATGTCACTGCATAATTTCCTTCTATTGTTTCATCTGAGAAGTCATGTCAAAAACTTGGGCTTCGTGTTTCATCACAGCTTCCAAACACCTTGAAACATGGCCTCAGGCTTTCATCTGTTTCTTGGCATTTGGAACCTGTGACAAACCACTTGCCCTCATTCTTGACATGAAACTTTGTTTACGCCAGTTTTTAAATTGGACTGAAAAGGTGTTCATAAATTACTAAATTGCAGGTTAAGCCTTGTGGATTGAGCAGCTCTTAGCTAGCTACATGAACTTCATAGTCCATTCCCAAGTTATGGAAAAGTTACTTTGTGAGTACAAAAACTAATTTCATAATAGTAATATTATTATTATTATAGATGATTTATAGTTATTAATTGATTTTACCTTCTACTTCCTCTTGCTGCATATCCCACTCCTCAAGATCAAGCGTTCTTTGCTTTTGCTTGTTGCGCCGTGCAAGAAGAGAGTGTTCTTGTCTGGGCGTGACACGTGGGCTTCCCCCGACACTAAATGTATTAGGAAGACTAAGTTTTCGGTCCCTAACAAGAACAGGTCTCTGGAATATTCCATTAAATGGATTTTCTTTATCTTTTTCATGTTCATCTTGTTTTGTAAAAGGTTCATTTAATGGAGGCTGCTGCAGATCATCATCTACAGTAAAATCCAGTTGAAATGGAGACTTGAATGATAGTCGACTGTTTGAGTTCACTTGTGAATCACTTTGTGATTTCCAAATATCACTTTTAACCTGTTGGATGCGCTCTGAAGAAGAGCTATTTAACTGTCCAGGCATGGATGAAATTTGTCCATTTTTTACCTTGAAATTTTCTCTTGGGCTTCTGTGTCCAATATTTGTATCCTTTTCGGAGAGTAAAAGAGGATTGCTCAAACTTCTGTTATCAGTGAAATTTTCTTTATTAGCAGCAAGACATTGCTGATCAACATCTGATTTAGAAATCAGCTTCTTCTCGGTACCAATTTCAGGTGACTTCCATTCAAATTCACATACGTTAAATAACTCAGCTAATAGAGCAGTGATGTTCGGCTTCATGGCTTGCGATCCATACAACAAATCTTCAATTTTTAGGGCTAGGACAGAAGTGCAGATTAACTGACTGCACAAAGAGCGAAATAGGTCCAGATTGTGGACACAGTCCTCCGTAGAAAGGTTTGTGCCAAAACGAATATCTGTAATAATTGAAAATTAAATAAAGCATTTATTTGTAACTGTAGCAATAATACCATATAAAAATATATACCTGTACAACAAGCGCGTCAGAAGTGAATTTTTTTTCATGTTGGTCAAATCTTTTTCAATCTCGCCTGCTCGTCATGGAAAAAGTTTTGTTCCTGCATTTGTTTTAAGGTCTCTATTGTTCACCTATTTGATAGCCTTGAGTCTGGAAAAATAAACTATTGTTTTGGAAAAAGTCTGGGAAAAGTCTTGAATTTTGGATCAAAATTTTGCATGAACCCTGAATTTATCATGCAGTAGAAACAAATTTGTGCATGTGGTATAATAACTGATTAAAGCACCTATCGTCACTATATTCTAGTAATTCTCCTGCACTTAATTTACTAGCATGCAATGTAGGCAGATTTTCTAGGTGAGCAAAAGCTGCTTGTTTATGTGTATTATACTGGGTCACCATCTTTGATTTATTTTCTATGAGCCATGTTCCAAACTCATGTTTAACTGAATTATAGTATACAATGTAACTTTCCAAAAAACTCAAGACTTTTTACAATTTTTTCAAGCCTTTACCTCTATTTTCAAGACTATTTCTAGCTCTGGAAAATCAAGACTTTTTCAAGTATTCAAGACTCTGTACGAACCCTGTAAATTGCATGCAATGTTTTATTTTTTTTATTTCATGTTACATTTTGCATTCACTAAAATTTAAATAACAATGTAAGCTCCTTCTACAAGTACCATCCCACCTCAAAAGTGGGACCCCGGCAACTAATTCAAGGATTCATAAAAACAGCTTTTCTTGCATTGCACAAATACTTAAAGTCTGATATGTTTTAACTGTAACTAAATATTTACCTTCTAGGGTGATAACTGATGGATGGTAAAATGCTATAATCCCAAGCAAACTCTGTCCATCACTTATGTCTTTCAAGAGATCTTCCATTACAGGAAATACTGTTTGCACTTTGGGCTGAAGCTGGTCACGACGAAACCTGAACCTCTTGGCTTTGTCCTGATTCTGCAGTAGCTGTTCAGCATGTTGTCTTTGCTTCTTTAGCTGATTATCATTTAAATTGGCACATATTTTGTTGATCCACAGAAGTAATGCATCTTCCAGATCAAAGGGAAGCTCTTTAGAAGCATTGAATGAGGAAAACTTGCTGAAGGAAGTTGAAAAAGGAATTGAAAGAAAGGAAATTGTTTATTGTGTCATAAAGATCATTACACATCCTCAACCTAACACAGAGAAGTTGTCACAAACAATTTAACCAGTGGTATACCTGACACTCTGCACAACTTGTTGCACACTTACAGTGCGAGTAGAGAAAGCACTCATCAGGCAATCCATCAAGGCAATATGAGTGGACTAAAAACAAAACAACAAATAGTAGAAATCATCATGACAATGCTACGGAATCATGGCTGTTGACTACATTTTAACTCATACAAATCAACTGTATATAAACAAAAAATATTTAAGCAATATTATTACTGCTTGATCCATCAAATAACAGTGTTGATGGAGTGGCTAAATAGGAAGGCAGTGTGACTCAGAAGGTTTAATAGAGCACTGGACGAGCGATCTGAAAGGCAGCCCAGAGTTCAAGTTCCATCCCCACTTTTTAGTGGCTGGATTTGTTCTCAATAGTCATGAGTTTAACTCCTCAGTTACTGTAAACAACCAACTAGTTTGCTTCCTTTCAGATGAGATGCTTAAAGGTAGATTTCCACTACTACTCACTAGGCTGCTCAGTGACAAATTGACATGAAAAATTCATTGGCTGACTAACTGACTAAACAAAGGTCTGGCAACTTACTTTCTTACTGATTTATTGGTTACAATATTATTATTATTTTATCATAACACACATAGTTACCTTTCTAAAGGGTTTCTTTTGTTGTAAGGCAGAATCTGTAACAGCAATGTCACCTTCCTCAACCACGTAAAAGCCATGACGAGAGAGTGTCTGGATGATAGCCCACTGACCAACAGCAGGAGCCTTCCCATGAAAAATATTGTTACAAACCTTACTGTAGATCTCACCATTCGTAAGGAATTCTGTCACCTCTGGGCGGACTGTGATCCGTTTCTATGAAAAGAGAGACTTAATTCAGGGCTGTCACTAAGGGCGGGGGACTGGGGATTTCTTCCACCTACTATGAGAATGAACCCTGGCGGCTATTTTTCGTAGGGAATAAAGGGAAAATGAGACCAAAAGAACTCCCTGGCTGTTCAGTTTCCCCTCCTACTAATTGCAGATACCCAGGAACTTGAAATCTTAGTGACAGCCGTGTAATTAACAAAAGTCAAAAGATGAATAAAATGAAACCCCCTAAGTAGAAGTTGTGAATTTTTGCTGATCAGCATTTTCCAGATTTGAAGCCCTAAGGCTTCGCCTTGAAATCCAAGTACCAACAAACAAGTGCAATTCGGCACAGATGATCTTTAAATCTGTATTTAAGTAAATAAAATTAATGTTGGGATGCAAACAGGTTGATAACTCTTCTGCAAAAAGCTCAGAACAGATGAAGACATGTTTAATGATTTTTCCTTGTTTCTGTTGTAATTTTTCATAATATTTTTACATAAACAGTGTATCTTGGATGCTTTGGTCTACTCTTTTTGGTGAAAATAAATACTGTCAGTTAGGTGTGTAGCTAAAGAAAAGCTACACAGGCTTTTTTATTTGTCAAGCCAATTTTTTCTCCAACTCCACCCTCAAAATAGCCTGTGTGACAGACATAATTTAATCTTGGTTAGTAACATCTGCGAAGCAGCAACCGATATCCTTGTTCAAGATCCCCAACGGACTGAACAAGTTACTGGAAGTGTGTTTTGAATTTCCTTTCATGCTCCTGATTGGCCAATGGACGATGGCTTTTTTAACAGGCCAATCATGACAAATACTCAAATCCTGATACCCAGGTGAGGGCCCACAACAAGGATTTTGGCGCTGTTTTGCAGATGGACTTAACCAGAGTTTAGTTTCACCTGTGGCACAGGCTACCCTAAAAATTACCACATGTCTTTGTTTCCCAGAGCAATTTGAGCTGGTGGTAAATTCTTATTCAGCTGGTGAAATTTGCCAGCAGCCTGCTCTTAGCAACATTCCTGTGTTAGCCCTTAATTTTTATATCCAACCCTGTCTTGTTAGTCAAGATAACACCTGTTGATTCGGATGCCAAACTCATAAAAAATTTGCCATCCTTAAAAATCTTTGAGACAAAAAATATTATTCTAAAATTTGGAACTTACCTGTATAATAATCATTATAACCATAAAGTTAAAAAAATCCAGCGTCTGGATCAAACTGAATCAAAACTGTTCCTTCTACTGTAAGTCAATTACTAGGCTTCATTTTGGTGGCAAAGGTTTTTAGGAAAGCTTTTAGGATCTTGGGATTAGATGAAAGGAAAAGTAGGTGGGTAGTGGAACAAGATTTTCATGGAAATTTTCAGGTCAATGTTACGTGGTTTTTTGCCTTTCTCTCTGGGGTACTTGACTGAATTGTGCCCAATCTGGTATGGTTCGAAAGATCT